CCCTTTTGCGAAAGATCCATCTCCCTGCTTCCTCTTATCTCTTTTATTTTGCTCTTTTGTTTTTTTTGTTTGTTTGTTTTTCAGTACCAAGGATCACATTCAGGACCTTGAGCTTGCCAGGTGCCACTGAGCTACATCTCTGGCCCGCTTTCATTTATTTTTATTCTGGGTTTTTCATCTAAGAGAAACCATGTGAAATTTAACCACACTTATGTGCCTGGTTTATTACAGCACAAATTATGTTATCACTTAACATTATGGTCAACAGGTGTATCTGTCTTCCTACAGAGACTCGAGCTTCTCCTTCTTTGTGGCAGAGTAGTACTCCGCGGCATATAAGAGCTGGTACCACATTTTCGTCAGCCGCTCGAGGGACGGAGGGATGCTGTTATCCACAGAGGTGTCACGCCCCGCCCCGTCCACAGTGCCCTGCCTGAGCCAGTGCCCACAAGGGGACAGCCGAGGGCCACCCCCTTCCTCCCGAGATCTCAGACTTCTCCCTCCAACTCCCCGGCTGACCCTTGAGGAAAAAGGACGAACTGCCTTAAAAGGAGGGGAAAGCTGGGCGCACACCTGGGATCTCAGCAATCGGGGAGGCTGAGGCAAGAGGATGGCAAGTTTGAGTCCATCCTGGCAATGTGGAGACTTAGAGAGAGCCTATCTCAGAAATAATGGGCTGGGGATGTTGCTCAGTTTAAGCCCAGTCTGGGCAACTTTGGGACAACCTGTCTCAAAATAAAATGTAAAGGCTTGTAATGAAACATTTAAGAGCCGGGGTTTGGGGGAATATAGTAGTAAAAAAGTAAATAAAATATGAAAATCTTTGAGAGAGGCTGTGTGGATTCCCACCCACGGGGCGCGGAGAGTCACCCACGGCTTGGGAACGGCGGCCACACACACACCAGAAAGACATCTCGGATGGCGACGTTGGCCAGCAGGGTCTGCGGCAGTGTCCGCACCGCAGGGCCCACAGACAGCCCCGGCCTTGGGCCAGCTGCCCTTTCGGCTCCACACTGCGTGTCCCGGCCGCTCCCCGCGGGAGGACCCCTCCTCTGCGCCACTGCTCACGGGGGCTTGGTTTTTAACCAAGTATTTGCGCCCCGTTAAATTAGTTTTTTTTGGTACCAGGGATGAACTCAGGACCTTGTGCTGCTTGGGAGGCCCCCACCCTCCCGAGAGCGCTGTGTGCGTGCTCGGGTCTGTTGGGGTCACGGCTGCAGCGCGAGGACACAAGGAGTGCGGGGCCTCGCAGGCCTCCCCACAGGCAGATGAGCCCGCACCCAGCAGGAAATGGCGCACGCCTCCGATCCCAGGGCTCAGGAGGCCGAGGCAGGAGGATCACTGTGAATTCAAGGCCAGCCTGGGAGGTGCCGGCCGAGGCGGGTGAGAGGCTTCTCGCTGCACGGCCTGTACCCACCCCACCCGGCTCTGCTAACTGAGCCCTGTCCAAGGCGGTGAAGGCAGGCAGGAGGCCCGGGACCTGGCACCCTGCGGCGTCAGCTCCTCCCCAGAGTCACCAGGGCTGAGAAAGGGAAACCTCCGGAATGGAGTTGGAACAGCGAGGCGGCCAGAGACGCTCGGGAGAGAGGACAAAGGCAGCAGCGAGGTGGCGGGACAGCAGAGGGGAGGGAGGGCTGAGGGCCGCAGGGGGACCCGCGGGCTCCAACGCTCCGCTCTTCTGGTCGCGCTTCCTGCTGTCACCAGAGGGCGGCGCTCCCGGGACCCACCCAGAAGCCCCCCGGGGTCCCTCTCTGCGTCTGGCTGGCTGTGGTGCTCTGATCTCACAGAAATGTCTCGCTGCAGTGTGACTATAAGGAAATGCCTAGGCAAGGCATTTATAAACAAAGCAGGTTTCTGTAGCTTTCCCAGCAGCCAGGTCCGGGTGCAGCCTCCCCCTGTACGTCCATCATGACAGTGAGCACCAGGCGGGCAGCCACGGCCCAGACAGGAGGCAGGAGAGGAGGGGCAGGCTCCTCCTAGAACCCCCTTCTTCCTCGTTTGTTTGTTTAAGATGGTGGCTGGCTGTGTAGCCCAAGCTGCCCTCACACTTGGGGCAACCCTCCTGCCTCAGCCTCTTGGGTGCTGGGATCACAGGCGTGAACCACCACACCCGGCAACAACCGCTCTGGAGAGGTCCCCACAGCCACAGGAGAGCCACTTCATCCGGCTCCAGGCCACCAGGCCCCAAGGACCCAGCGTTAAGTCAGACCCTGGCCCGGTCCTGCCACCTTGCGCCCAAGCCCTGGGGACTGTGGCCAGGAAGACAGGAAGGAGCGCAGGACTGAACTCGCAGGCGCGCGGCCTCCTTGGAGATCTTCACCCGGAGCGCTGGGCTCCAGCGGTTCCCAAGCGGACGGAGAGGCACAGAACTCACCGCCACAGCCGTGTGCATGTCAGGGACACGGGGAGCGCAAAACGGGCCCAGTCACGCGGTGTCCTGTGAGGGAAGGTGTGGCAGCCTCAGCGTCACCACTACCCGTGACTGCTCCCTGAGCTCCTGTCTGCGCTCCGCCCTTCCGAAGGGTCTCCCAGTGCAGCCCAGGCCGGCATCCTCCCGCCTCAGCCTCCCCAGTGCTGGGACGACAGGCGTGCGCCACCAGGCCATGAGTTCAGACGCTGAGGCTCTGTCCACGACAAAATGTCTCCATCTAGTGTCACGCATCACACATGGAGAAGGGGCCTCAGTTTCCCAACAGATTCCGTTTGGCTTGAAACCTGGGGCTTCCTTTTCACGAGTAGGAGGAGGAAATTAGAAAGTCGGATCCCAAACATGAACTGTTCTCCTTCTCATCACTGCTGCCTCAAATCTGCACAGCTCCCAGAGGCAGAAACCAAGACACGGTCAGGCAGATGCTGCACAGGTCTCTGAGATTCGAATGTGGATTACAGAGCTCCAGGTCAGCAAGGTGACGATGTAAACACCTCGGCGACAAAACGCTTTCTTCTTTCTTCCCGCACCAGTGCACCTGCAGAGAGGCCCGGATGGCAGCCCTTGGCTGCTGGGTCAGCCGAGCTGGCGGGAAACACCCCAGGCCACCTCTGGCCACCAGCCTGACCTGTGCGTCCCCAGTGCTGTCTGTCTGTCCCCTGGCCCGGCAGAAGCCATGAGCTGTGGTGCTGCGCATGGCCAGCAGGGGCGACAGTGAAGCCCCTGGGACAGGGCCCAGTGCCGGCAGGAGGGCAGCCCTGCCAGAGCGTGGGTCACTGACAGCCCACTGGACTCTCTGAAAAGTTAGAGCCAGCTCATCGTAGGGTCTGGATGTCACTCAGGCAGGCAGGGTGACAGGACGCCCAGGACCTGGGGTAAGGTACCGTCTAGGTTCCCAATGTGGTTATTATATCATTTTTCATTTTAAAAAATTAAAATTACATTGAGCCAGAGTGGTGGTGCACACTGGTAATCCCAGCATTTCAGAGGATGAGGCAGGAAGACCACCGAGTTCAAGGCCAGTGTGGGCTACTTAGCGAGACCTAATCACAAAACAACAAAAATACATACAAATATCTATATCTATTAAAATGAAAGAGGCTTCTGTTCGGACGGGAGGGGGTGTGTGCTGAGAAGCAGACTATGAACTAATCAGTATAATGTTCTGGAGTCCAAAGGCTAGAGAGGAGACAAGAAAACGGTTTCTCTATGCAGTAGGGAGGGCTGGGTCTCTTTTCTCGCTTAACTCTTGTCTGTTTGTGGTACTGGAAATTGAACCCAGCGCCTCTGCACAGCCCTCTTACTTTTTTCATTTTTCATTTTGGAACAAGGTCTCACTAAGTCATGAAGCTGCCCAGGCTGGGCTAAGACGTTCCACCCTCCTGCCTCAGCCTCCTGCATGTGTACACCACCGCAAGCAGCTTTCTCTGTAAGTGGGACAGCCAACTGCCTTTCTCACAGCAGCCTCAGCCCGAGGGCTCCAGGAGCCTCAAGACGTCTGACCCAGCCCTCAGCCAGCCCGGCCTGGTCAATTTAGTGACTTAAGGAGAGAAAGACCCTGTTTCAGATTCTTTTTTTTTTTTTAAAGAGCTCGGCTGGAGTTCAGTGGGAAGGCTCTGGGTTCCACCCCCAGCATTAAGAAAAAGAGTCAACTGTAACTGAATTATAAAATAGTTTCATGCCTCTCTCCACCAAAGAGGCAGATAGGTATTAACATTTTACAAAATATTGTCATTTAATAAAAATGTCACTGATGCACTTTTAAAACCTGTCCAACAGTCCCCATGTATTTTATCTACAGCTAATACCTTTCAAATCAAAGCATTCCTATGACATCCAGGTATCCATCAGTAACTTAAAAATAACTACAGGGCCGGGATGTGCTCAGTGGTGCCACCGTCTGCCTCGAAAGCACAAGGTCCCAAGTTTGATCCCCAGTACCCCAAAAAGTAAAAATCAATCAATAAGTAAATAATTACAAGCTGGAACATATCATAGGCCTCTGGGAAAAAAATTCTTCTTCTAGGTCAAAATTAGTCAAGTAATGTACTCACCCCACCCAGCGCACTGCACCCCAGGGCAAGGAACTTCAACCACTCGATTTTGTCTTCACAGGGGTCCAGCTGGAGCAGAGCCCGCAGCTTCTCCACTGGCAAGCACAGCGTCCGCCACTTACGCTCCAAGTCCAGCAGGCTCACGTAGGCCTTGTGGCTGCACTGCGGGGATATAGGGGACCCCGTGGGCAGAGGGGGCAGTGAAAAAGGACGGGAAGCAAAGCCAAATTGGACAGGTGGTGGGTAGGAAATCACACACACACACACACACACACACGCACCCAAACTTCAACAAAAAAAAACATTTAAAAGTCCAGTTCCAGGTGGTGCCTGCCTATAATACCAGCACTCTGGGAGGCTGAGTCAGGAGGATCACAAGTCTGAGCCCAAAATGAACATGTCTGTATCAAAATAAAAATTTTAAAAATGGGCTGGGGATGTAGTTTAGGGCGGTCCTGGGTTTGATCCCTAGTACCCTAAAAGTAAATGAAATAAAATCCAAATGCAGTCCCCTAAGCATGGTAAGAGTTACCCAGGAGAGATTCAAACCAAGCATCAGTGTATTTACTTCTGCTGCCTTTCCAGGCCACCTGGGACTGTAGGTCAGCTGTGGGCGGTCAGCAGCACTCGGGCATCGCTGGTGCGGTCTCAGTATCTCTTCCCACACCACCTCCGTTCACTCAGAGTTTCCCTGAGGCCCACTCTGAAGCACTGTACTTCTGCTGTAGTTTTTGCTTTATGTTTTTCAGTCCAGCAGAATCTGCCTCAACTTAATTTTGTGTTTCAAAGAAATTATATTTCGTGTGTGTGTGTGTGTGTGTGTTACTAGCGATCACAGTCAGGGTATTCTACCACTGAGCTACATCTCCCAACCTTTACATTTTTGAATCAGGGTCTCACTAAGTTGCCCAGGCTGGCCTTGATCTTGGGATCCTCCTGCCTCAGCCTCCCAAGTAGCTGGGATCACAGATGACACCACACACACCACTTTTCTAAATGTATACGTGAACAGCTATTTGGGGTTCTTTCACCACAGGACAGGCAAGGCGGTCAGGGTGACCCCGGGTCTGGCCCCAGGGTTAGAACAGTGGTGGGATGCCCCCTACCTGCTTGTGCAGGACCTTCAGGAGTCCCTGGGTCAGGCCTGTGTCTGTTTTCTGGGTTGCCATGGGCATTTCGACTCTGTCCTTTATAGGGAGCAGATCTCCCTGCGACAAAGCTAAAAAATACCTGGTAAGGAGAGACACCCCCAGAGTGAGTGGGCCCAGGGCGCCCAAGGCAGACAGGAATCAAGCCCCACCTGGGAAGGAACCCAGTGGCCTTTCTGGTCCCCTTTGGCTTACTCGGCCATCTCCATGTGCCTCAGTTTCTCCATCTGTCTGCGTGCTTGGGGGACTACCCTTTCTGCAGCCTTGCTGCTGTGCGACACATCTGGTCTTCCCCTCCCCCGGACATCTCTGCGTTTTCCCTCAAACCTGCTCCCGCAGATGTTGGAGACGCTGCTTAGGTGGAGAGGTACAGAGAGAAGCGGGGGACCAAGGCAGGAGAGGCCACATGGGCCGTGGGCCTGGCGGGAGCCTCTCTGGATGTCTTCTGGCACAGGAAGGGGTGGCAGAGCGACAGGAGGAGCTGGGAGCCCCCAACACTCACACAGGCCATGTGGACAGACCCGTGTCGGGCAGACTGAAGGCCTTGACCCGTCCTGTCCCGTCTTTTCATGTCTCACATTTAACCTTGCTTTCAGACTTGTGAGGAGACTTAAGCTCCATTTTATGCTTTTATGAGGAATTTGAGGAAAAGCCCAAAGCAAAGCAGTGGGGAGTCAGCTGGCAGCGCTGGGATGGTGCTGAGCGTGTTGCTAGGGAGCGTTGCTGGGACTGTTGCTAGGGAGTGTTGCTAGGGAGCATGTGCACCTCTTAGGGAAGTGACTCCTAACAGATGAAAGGACTCCGGGGCTCCTAAGGCCTCTGGAGTAGGGGGCTCATAGGGAACGTTTTGGTCCCCTGTTTTCAAGGCACTGGTGATTTCTGGAGACAGTTTGGCAGTCAGGTCAAAGGGAGGGTGGCACTGCGGGCATCTCAGGAACATGGTGAACACCCACAATGCACCTCCACTATGCATCAGTCCTGCCCGAGCTAAGAAAGGCTCCTTTATTCTATTTATTAATTATTTGAGACAGGGTCTCGCCGCTTACTTCAGCCTAGCCTGGAACTCACAGCAATCCTCCTGCCTCAGCCTCCCAAGTGCTGGGATTACAGGTGTGTGCCACCACACCTGGCTCGGGAAAGCCTGCTTTAGAAGTGAGAACAGTGAATGATACTCCACTGCTTCCCCGGACACCAGAGCCGCCTTTATCACTTGCAGCCCAGGGAGCAGGCAGGTCTGGGAGAAAGCAAGTGGCTTTGACACAGGCACCTGAGGAATTCCTTTGAAAAGACTCTCGAGGAAGCAGGGTGCCTGCCTGGCTTCTGCAGCCTCCTGTTTGCGGTCCGGTCTTTAGCTGGTTCTCTCTGGTCCCATCCCTCTGCTTCCTTCTCCATGCCTTGCTTCACGAGCCCGCGTTTATGCACTGAGCGGTTCTCCCACCCTCCAGTTCCTCGTGAACCTGCCTCTTCCAGGTAATGCTCTGAACGCTGGGACCCAAGCTCCTCACCTGGTGATTGATTCCCCCGCCACCCTGGGGTTTCTCCTAAATGCTAAAAATTGTTCCTGACAGACATTAGCGGCATGGAGCATTCAGAAAGTTCTCCATGAAGCCTTTCAGATTAAAATGAAGCTCAAGATAATTGTCTCTTAAGTGTTACCAAATATAATTTGAGGTTCCAAGAGGAAAAAATAAAGCTAAATCGCTGGAATCTTTTTGTATGTTGTAAAAAAATCTTTTATGAAATCTCACTATCTTTTGTTTAGGCTTGAATCATGGTGAAAGCTAGAGACTTTTTTTTTTAAATCAAGAACCTTGAGAGAAGCTTTCAAAAGCTATTGATGAAAGTGCTTCTCAGAAAGCGGACAGTGTATTAACAAGCAGTCCTGTTGCTCGGTTAAATGACTCCCCCCAAACCCCACACATCCAGGTGTTTATCTCTGGAATCTGTTACTGTACATGGTAACTGCCTTGCAGGTGACTGATTTGAGATGGGAACATTATCCTGGATTATCTGGACACCTCCTGACTGCCAATTACATGTGTTTTCAGAAGAGGTGGGCATAACACTGGGTGTGGGGATGGAGGAGTGTGATTCCAGATCTCCAGAGGCTGAGGCAGGAGGACTGCCTCAAGTTCGAGGCCAGCCTGGGCTCCATAGTGAGTTCAAGGCCAGGACTGAATTACAGAGCGAGACTCCATCTCAAAACACCAAAAGAGGAAGGAGGCAGAAAGAGAGAATGGAAAACAAAGGGTTCGTGAGGGAAGTCCAGTGAATGCAGCTCTAGAAGTTCAGGCAAGGACACAGCAGGGCTTCTCCTCAGAGTCACCAGGAAGGAGGAAGCCGGCTGAGCCAAGCTGAGTGAAGCTGATTTGGTACGCTTAGCCTCCAGCACTGCAATATTAAAGGCTGTTTTAAACTGTCCAGTATTGTGTTCATTTGTTACAACAGCCAAAAGAAACTAATTCACCTTGGTTATGCAGTTAAGACAAAGTCAGTGAAATCTGATATGTCAGCTACTAAAGATATCAAAGGCACACTTAGACTGACGCTTGCCACTAACAAAGTGGGCTTTTTGTCTATTTACTGAGAAGGGACCAAGAGCTTTTCTGCAACGCTCTTAAGAATGTAATGGTTCCAAGGTTTGGGAGGTGCACTTGCTGTGGCCTCCTCTGGCCTTGGGGTGACTGCTGCGATGGGACCCTCGGAGTTCTCTGAGAAACGGCCCAACGCGATGGTTTGGCAAGCCTTTTTCCGCCCGCACGACTCAAGTGCCATTACTGTGTAGGTAAATGAGCGTGTCGGCAACAATCTCTGGTCTCGCGGTCAAAGACACACAGACAGACAGACAGATATCACCGGGGCCAAGGACTAGGTCTCAGGTCCGCTTACCCCGCAGACCACTGCAGCAGGTCGGCGGGCTGGGTGCGGATGGCAGCCTTGGTGAACTGCTTCAGGATGTCCGGCAGCTCTGGGGGAATGTGGATCTGCTGCGCGCAGAACATGGTGTCGGGAAGTGGCATTGCTCCAGGGACCGCGACAGCCTGGGAGAATCAAGGTGCTCAGCGGCCAGCGGGAGGACGGCGTGAGCCGCCGGGCATGGCCGCCTCCCTCCCCCCGTCCCTCCCCGGTCGGCTCTTACCGGCTCCTCCTCTGCTTCCCGGCGAATGAGGGCAGAGACCCTCCACGCCCGGCCCTCTCCTTTGCCGCTACTGTTGCGTCGTGGTATCCAGGCAACCAAAACGCAGGCCGCCCCTCCCCTCCCCGGCGCTGCGCACTCGCTAGTGCGTCGGAGCCTCGCGCCTGCGCAGCTGGCTCAGAAACTTTTTTGGCGCCAATGGGTGCAGCAGCACGAGTTGAACTTTGCACTTCGAAAACGGCCTCTTTCGATCCATCGCGCTCCCGCTGCCGAAGGTGAGCGGCGAGTTCCCAGCAACCCACAGAGACCCTACGCCCGGCCCTCTCCTTTGCCGCTACTGTTGCGTCGTGGTATCCAGGCAACCAAAACGCAGGCCGCCCCTCCCCTCCCCGGCGCTGCGCACTCGCTAGTGCGTCGGAGCCTCGCGCCTGCGCAGCTGGCTCAGAAACTTTTTTGGCGCCAATGGGTGCAGCAGCACGAGTTGAACTTTGCACTTCGAAAACGGCCTCTTTCGATCCATCGCGCTCCCGCTGCCGAAGGTGAGCGGCGAGTTCCCAGCAACCCCTCGGCCCTGAGTCCTTGAGCTTTGGGGCGGGTGCCTGGGTCGTCCGAGAAGGGAAGCGGCGTGGTGACCGGCGGCGCTCCCCGCATGCTGGGCTGCAGATGCGCGGCTCTCCGACCCTCGGCCTCGCCTGCACGCGTTGCCCGGGTTGCCAGCTTGAGCTCTGCAGGCCTCAGTTCAAACGCCACGCGGTCACTGCATGGGCAGTTTCCAGCAGAAAACAGACGGACCATTAATATTTGCCTGAGCGAGGGAGGGAGGCAGCAGGCTACGCCTCTGATACACAGTTTGGTATCAGGTCCAGGCGTGCGAGGTGGGCATCGTAGCCGGCACCCTGGGGTCGCGAGAATACGCGCTGTGGCTGGATGAGGCTGGGACCGGGGAGCCGGGGATCTGCGTGCTGCTGGGGCGGACTCGGGACCAACCTGCCCTCGGGGGAATTGGCCCATGTCACACACACGCCCACACGTTCCAGTACATACCACTGACAAGTACTGAACAGCATTTAAAGTTGATGACCGTGTGGGCAAACAAAATCTCATGCCCTTCTTCGACAGGAGTGTTAATAACTACTCCATCTGGGGGTAGTTAGGCACTACAAAGATTTCTGGTGACGTAGCAGTCTCTTAGTTTACCCTACAGACAGATTAGCCCAAGTATAAAAAAAATGGACAAAATGTTGACTAGCACTTTTAAATGGATTAACTGTCTTTCAGAAAACCAAACTGCTGGTCTATCCACGTAATTGAATACAGCACAGCCAGAATTTTAGAATTAGATAAAGGCAGGTGTTGTACTGAGGAGCCTGGGGTGGGAGGGTCATTTGAATCCAAGCTGGAGGCCAGCCTGGACAACACCGCCAGAAAAACTCCAGAGTTCTGGCAGTGGCTACGCCTGTTATCCCAGCTTCCCAGGAGGCTGAGGTGAAAGGATCTCAACTTCGAGGCCAGAGTCCTGGCAGTTCAGCAAGGTTCTGTCTCAGAGTCCCAAACAGGAAAAAACAAAACAAAAGCCAGGGAGCTACTTCTGCGCTGATACAGAAAGATGCCCGCGGAGGTGCACCCAGCACTCTGGGCAGCCGATGTGAGATCAGGGGGTGGAATCCAGCCTGTGCAGGTTGGCAGGACATGGTGTCAAAGCAAACAAAGGGCGGAGGATGCAGCTCTGCATGGGGGGCAGACTCAGCCCCAGGGGGCCAGGGCGGTGGGTGCAGTGTGGTTCCTCATCTTCACTGAAGCTGCGGCTGTGCCTGTGCAGGGCGGAGGTTGGCAATGCAGTTACCTCTGCAGACAGACTGAAAAGCAGACGTCTCAAGTTTCATTTTAAACCCTTTTAATCAGCAGCAGTTACTGAGAATCAGCTACGTGCCGGGGACCCATGTAGATTCGAAGAATACACTTAACAATTTAGTTTAAAGATAAAATCTCCGGAGCTTACATTCAAGGGAGAAAAATGTACAAATAGAATTAAGTAAATCACACACTATGAAAAATACAGTAGGAGACAGAACGGGAATACCTACTAGCTGCAATTTCAGATACGCCTCACTTCCAGGATGAGTAGATCGGGGAAGCCCAACTAAACATTCAGGCACAGCAAACCGTAAGTGAGAAGGCCCCAAGGCCTAGGGCTGTGAACACCAAGTGAGGGTCCGAGGGGAAGCAAAGGGTGCCACATGGCCTGTGGGTGTTGAAGGCCACAGTGATAGTCATCCCGCTGACACGAGAGCAGCCCACCAAAGGGCTCTGGCCCAGAGGACTCGTGGTCTGACCTGAGTCTTCACAGGAGCAGTACAGGCCCAGGAGAAACAGACGATGCAGGAAGAAGGAAGACACGAGCCATCCACCAGAGGCCAGCAGCAGGTGGGGCGAAGCAGCTGCATTCGCCTTCATACAAAAGATTTGCTTTCAGCCGGGACACGCAGCATGCCAGAAAGTATCAGTGGCCTTTCCAACATATTTGATTTAGCAACTTTAATCCTTGGCTCCAACTCCTTGTCCCTGGAAGTGGGGAAGTTTGAGAAACGGCAGATCAGGGGTTGTGTTAGCTTTCTGCGGCTGTGAAAACACCTTCGAGAGAGGAAAGGTTTATTTTGGCTCACAGTTTTAGAAGGTCCAGTCCCTGGTCAGCTGGCTCCATTGCTTTGAGGCCCGTGGTCAGGCAGAAACAGCACAGTGGGGGAAAGCTGCTCACCTCATGGTACCAGGAACCAAACGGAAAGAGCTAGAAAGGAACAGGCCAGGGACCAAGACAGTCTTCAGTGTCACATCACCCACGGGGCCCTGCTTCCTCTGGTCGGCCCCTCCCAATGAGCTCACCGAGCTGCACGCAAACTCATCCGTGTATTATCCACCGAGGAAGTCAAGGCCCTCATGATCCAGGCGCCTCCCAAAAGCCCGACAACTGAAAACCAAGCCTTCTTAGCAGTGACCTTTTGGGGGCAACTCATGATAACAACTGTAATGAGCAGAGGCAATTACAGGTTGTGCTGTGGACCTAAGGGGACCCCTGGAAGCTATCCGTGTAGGTAGTTGCACATTACGTGTGGTGCTTAAGGAAAATGGAATGGGTGTATCAGGATCAGCACAGACCATCTGTGGGGCCCTGGGATTGTGAGCCCCGAGCCAATGGGGGTCCCAGACTGAGCCATGGGGTTTCCAACAACTGGAGCCAGCGAAGTCTGAGAAGTTGTCTACACCGGTAGGAAGCAAATTAGGAATGCAGCGTTCTGGCAGCTACGGAAATGAAGGGCTTCAGTGTGGAGGAAATCACCAAGGTCAGAAGACACAGTAACGATGAAAACTGAGGTCTTCACAAGACAGTTTCAGTGGGATAACGAGCGTGACACCCTGATGGGAGTGGGGCTGCAGGAGTCTGAGGTGCCTCCTTGAAGGTATGCGCTGAAGAGCAAAGTGACACCGAGCAGTCAGTGGAGAAAGTAAACATGGGTGGGGGAGGAAATCACAGCAATGGTGGACGAGGATGGACAACCCAGCAGAGAAGACACTTGGGATGCGGGCGGAACTGCAGAGCCGAACACCTGAGCAGGCACAAACCCACACAAGCTGCCGAAGCAGGCACGTCCTCCAGGGCACACAGCCTGCACAATCTGGTGGCTTTGGTGGCCAACACATGGACAGAGGTGCAGGTCGGAGTGGCAGATGTGACGGTGTGAACTCGGGAAAGTTCTTTGGCCTGTGTCTATCTTCTCTGGGACACAGGAATGAAAGTGTCAGTGAGGAGGGAAGAGGTGAGGAAGGGAAAGTGTGAAGGTTCTTTTAAGAGCGGATACGACAGAGCGTTACCGTACAGCTCGCCTCACTTACTGTGCCCAAAGCAGGCTGTGACCCTGCAGGCTGTAGTCAGCCCCACAACTCGCTTGTTTAGAGGAGTGAGTCTGGCTGAGGCCTATGTGCCAAGGTCGCTCTCACCCAAATTCTGGTCCCAGAACTTATATCTTCACTGGAAAGACAAGGTTATTTGCTAACCACAACCTAGATTTTGTCTGTTCCGTTCCTAAGAATGCTTTGTCCCCTCCGTTACAAGCCTTGCCTGCATCAGCAACGTGTCCACAGCACCTCCACACAGCCCCTTTACTCTGACCTGTGATGTCGCCAGTAAATATCAACAGCATTGGCTGGCCAGGGCCTTTCTTTGCTTTTCAAGCACAGGACACACTGGCTCCCCATAGCTGTTTCTTCTGCCTCTGCCCTTATACTGAGATCAGAACCCACTGTAGGGGAATCCAGTACATTATACTTCTAAACTAAGGCACAATTAACATACAGTAAACAGCAGCACTTAGGATGCAGGTTCCCAACATGTGCACGTCAGACCAGAACCATGCAGAGATGGTGCACACACCCACAGTCCGCCCCTCCCTGGCCCCTGCCCCAATGATCCTCCCATAATTTCTCTCCCTTTCCTAGTTTACACAGAAGAAACCACACAGCACGTTTTCGGTCTTTGAGGTGCATCTGTGTTGCGGGCAGTCGAGTTCCTCTCCTGTGTAGCACCAGGCCGTGGCGTGGATAAACACAAGCTGCGCGCCCACTTACCTGCTGGTGGACACCTGAGCACACGCTTTCCTCTTGTCAATAACCGGGGGTGTGACACGTGGGGCAAACTGCCCAGCTGCTCTCCAAAGTCATTCCCTCTGGCACCGAGAGTTCCGGTTCCTCCCACCCTCACCCACACAGGGAACAGTCAGTATTTTTTATTTCAACCATTCTTCTAGTAGGTATAGGGTGGTTATTTCACGGTGGTTTGTTGGTTTTTCTTTTTGGTACCAGGGATTGAACTCACGACCTTGAGCTTGCAAGGCAGGCGGCAGCACCGAGCTAAATTCCCAGCCCCCATTGTGGTTTTAATTTGCATTTTCTGGGAATTATGTTGACTATCTCAAGTGCTTATTTGCCATCTGCAGATCCTCTTTAATGAAGTGTTTGTTCAGTATTTTGCCCACTTTAAAAATCGGCTGATGGGTGGACCACCTTGGGTTTTCTACTTTAGATGCATACTCTACAATGGAAATGTTTTGCAACTATTTTCTCTTTCAAAGAGGTTTCCAATTTTGATCAAGTACAATTTACCGACATTTACTTAAGACCTTTTCCTAACCCAAGACTGAATGCCTTTTTCCTTTTTTCCCCTTAGAAATGATACCATTTGGGGCTATACCTTTAAGACTCTAATCCATTCAAGTTCAATTCTGGTATACGGTGTGAATACTTTTTCAAACTCTGCCTCAGGTTACCCAGTTATTCCCTATCATATCTTCAACGTGCCTGTGAACACCAGCTGTCTACACGGGGGTCGGTCTACTTCTGGACTCTTCTGCTCCACCAGCCCCAGACACTGGCAGGAGGGACTGAGCCAGACTGCGAAGAAAACAAATGCAAGAATGAACAGGGTTCGCGGGGGAGAAGCCTTGCTTCTCTGAAACAAGTTAAACGGCAACAACTGAGGCACAGCTTCGTAGGTGAGGAAGACGTTTTTAAAAGGATGATGCTTAAACGATGCAAAGCGCCCCCGGAGCTCTCATGGTTCCGGGAAGCGCTGTACCCCTGGAGGCTGGGGAAGGAATTACGGAAGCACGGTGGTGCTAACACAGAACAGCAGCAAGTGGCTGCGGCACCACAGGCTGCGAGCGAGCCCTCTACTCACACTTAAACACACTGCGTTCTCCACTGCACCTGAGCCCTTGAGGCATTCACACCTCATTCAACTGTCCTGACAGGTAGGGTGTGAGAAGCAAAACAGACACCGGAAACACAGCACAGCAGGGCGGGGATTCTCCCTGCTCAGTTCTGCTTCCCTGGCTCTCCTGGCGCTGCATGTGTACAATTAGTGGCTGCAAAGTGGAGGGGGTGGAAACCGGTGGCAGTTTCTGAGTCTCATGATGCAACTTCCTTTGACAAAAATGTTCCCTCCACTTTGCAGATCAAAAATGTCTCTGGTTCATATATCACCTCACTCCTGCAATTAAAACATAAAAATGCACTCGACTGGGGGGGGTTCATACAGGAATGCTGAAAGTTTTTGAAAAAATGATGAACCTAGAAATAATAAAAATTAATTGAGGGGGCCAGGGATTTAGCTCAGTGGTGTTGTCACCTGCCTTACAAGTGCAAGGTCCCTAGTTTGATCCCCGGCACATGCCACACCCCCCAAAATTAAAATAAGTCTGAAGCCAAAGGATCTCTTCACTGGGGGCACATAGGAGGAAAAACCCTCATCCAACTCTCCTCTCTGAGACATACGGTCTACTGCATAGAACAGTTTCTGACCTGCTAACTTTGTCAAAGTCCCCCCCATGCAAAAGCAGCCTGGCTGGGTGTGGTGGTGCATGTCTTTAATCCCAGCACTCAGGAGGCTGAGGCAGGAGGATGGATCGCTATGAGTTTTAGACCAGCCTGGGCCACACAGTAAGTTCCAGGACAGTCTGAACTACATAGTGAGACCATGTCTCAAAAAAAAAAAAAAAAAAAAAAAAAAAAAAAAAAAAAAACAAAGCAGCCTGGGGAAGCCCTGGCTTTCCAGACTTGGAGGGGACACACAGCAAGTGCACAGCACTGTGCCTACGGCACAAGGAGGGGCTTTAGCCTTTCCACGAAGGTCGGACTACCATTCATGTGTCAAGTAAAGGAAACATGTTCTCTGCAACTCTTACTTTTAGACATATTTAAAACAGAAGGAAGGGCCACACCATATGGAACAAGAGTCCTATTTCTTACCTTACTATATGAAAAATCTTTGGATTATCTACATATGCTGACAAATAATACACGTTCCCTCTACTTTGTTTTGCACAGGGTCTCCCTGTGTTGCCTGGGCTACCAAACGCTTAACTCCAACTACTGAACCTGAGCAATCCCAAACCACTGGGCCTACAGGTGCACACCAACACACCTCGCTTCACATTTCTGTAATTTTAAGACAATCTTGCCACAAAACAAAAACAAACCAAAAAACAAACTAGGCTACAACTAACATACACTTTATTCAGTTTTGTTCTATCAACTCAGAAGGCAACAAATGAACACATAAAAAAGGGAACATTTTTAAAGTATACATATAAAATTGGCCTATTTATCTAGGGTGTTGATTTGATAGAAAATTGACATCCCAACTACCTAAGTGTTCTATTTAGCTCCTATGACAGTCATTCCTAGGCCTTAGTCATTACATTTTCTACTACGGTGTTTATTACTTTCATGACTACAAAATGAGGCACTCGTACAAAATAGGAATATATACCTTTATGTTATATTGATGCCCAAGGTATTATCAGGGATATCTGAAAGAAGCCCTTACTCATGATGGTTGTTTAAAAACTGACACACAAAAGCAGTGAGCTGGAAAGCAAACATCTGACTGGCAGGGCGAAGTGGGCAGCAGATCCGAGATGGCTGGACCGCGAGATCGCCATGCTGAGGCTCACACACACTTCGGAATAAAACACGTCAGTTCTGTCTTCTCTTGACAACGCCTAAGTAACATTCTAAAGGGGGATTTTAAACATCATCACTGAATGTCACAGTGTAAAAACAATGTAAGTAAACAGCTTAATACTTTCAATTCTGAAAATAAAAATGTGACTAACTTGCAAAGATTTAAAAAGTGCCAGGGTTCCTTTGGCACCAGTCTCCTATGTGTGTTTGCAAAAACAATACAGTGTAGAAACGTCCAGTGTTTCTTTTGTTTTGTTTTTAAAAGTCATTAAGTTCAAGAATTATACTTTAATAGCATCTTTCTAACACAGAATGACACACATCTAGGATCAAATCATTTGAGGAAAAGTTATTCTCTATCATTTGTATGAGGGAAAGGAAAAACACAAGACAAGCTTCCACAGTAACAACAGTTGTATTCAAGGTCAAAATAAAAATTACTTGTTTAGATCTGGAATTAAGATGTCCCATCTTCTTTGTTTCTCCAGGAACAGGGTGTGTGGGCAGGGCGGGGCACAAATGAAAACACTGAGCTTTTAAAAAGGCCAGCTAGGGCTGGGGATTTAGCTCAGTAGTTCACCACCTGCCTCGCAAGCGCAAGGACCTGAGCTCAATCCCCAGCATCCCCCCAAAATAAATAAAGGCTAGCTATACACAAGCTTCACACTGGCATTTTCCTGCAGTTTTTCATGTCAACTATCAGTACTTTATTGCTTAAGACCAAATGTAATTTGCTAATAATGACCATCTGATAAACAGCCATGTAAGACTAACCTCAAGTGTTCAATTCATAAACAGTAAAGCTAAAACAACAAGGTCCTCTTCCTTGAAGACTTATAGCTCAATGTAAAATGAAAAACCGCACTCTAATTTTTTTTTAAAAAAATCTATGTGAAGAAGGGCAGCAAAACTAATACTTTATGAACTATGGGTTTAAAATATTTATAACTATTGGCTAATAACAAAAACCCATGCGACCCAAGCAAATATGCCAGTATTCCTTTCTTTAGAAAGGGTTTCTCTCACTGAAAACAACAGGACAAAGCACAGCAGAAGGAGGGCGTCCTCAGAAAGACAATAAAGTCATCTGCCAGTGAAAACAAGGGCAATTTTTGGCCACACACACATATACACATTTTTAAAAACAAAACTTAAGATTCATTTAAAATTTCATAGGATTAACAATCTTTAACCTTTCGTGATATCTGCCTAGATCTGTTAAACCAATGGGTTCTAATGACTTTAAATCAAGATCTACAAATTCTCTGAACATTAGAAAGAAAGCTAAAGTAATATGATCAACTTATATGCCCAATTCATTATTTTTCTCACGAAAAGAACTTACGTAGCCATACACTATGACAGGTGGCCTGACTTTCAAATACTCCAAAGTTTTTACAGTAGGACTCTTAATTGTGAGTGTAGGTCTAGCAAAACAAGAGAATGGGCTACTACGAAGTGCTACAGAGTGTTAACACTGATTCTATGTCAAGCATTTTTTGATACTGATATTTTTAAATTAATTTAAAAGTATTTCCTTATTACTTAGAAGAAAAAAAAAAGAAAACCATCATAACATGTTGCTCCTGATTTTGGTAGCTTATGTTTCGCTGACTTTCATGTTTTAAAAAAGTTGTCACATTTTAGTCTATGGGTTTTAATACTATATGGAAATCCTTTTATAGTTCCTAAAGACCTACACTGTTCACTTCTATGAGAATGTCCGAACTGTCACTCAAAAGCAAACACTACTCTCACATGTATCACTAGCATTGAATACGTAGATCAGGTAACCAACCATTCTACTCCGAAATTTGAATGTGACACTTTGGTTATAAGGGAAAATCGGGTTTGTTTCTCTGAGTTTTTTTATAGCACGTTTGCAATGAAATACATTCCTATGTTGAAAGGCCAGCTTAGCTAGCTTCCTTTGCAGTTTTATTCTGTAAACAAACAGCTTTGGAAACGGAGATGAAAACGCAGGAAAATGTGTTCACTCATGCTCTCCCAGGGACGCACTGACTAGCAGGACGGGGCATTCTAACCAGTCTCCCCTAAGGCTGCTGATCCAAGCCCACGCCATGTCCACTTGACAAGCGGCTCAGAAACTCCGACATCCAGTAAGACGCAGCGCTGTTGGTGATGTTACTTTTATATCTTGAGAAAAAGAAAAGAAAACTGGCAAAAAGAAAGCTGTGTGGAAAGGGTGTATGGAGAACTAAGGAAAATCTTCATTTATACCTTTTTCTTTTGCCTCTTACCCTAAGAACAGACATGTCCTGAACAAGCACAAACACCTGACTCTCAACGCTGATCACTAGGAATATTAAATTATAAAACTAAAAATAATTTCCTCACCTAGCACAAGATAACTATACAATATTACAAACACAAACACATGAAAAAAATCAGGCAGTAGAAAATGTACAACAGCTTTGGTGTTATACAAAATAACCTCCACACGACAGTGATGCGCACAGCTCACGTTCTTACCAGACGCTCGGCTGCTGACGTCCGCCTGCTTCCTCTCCTTCCTGTACGGCGGGAGCGGCCCAGACAGACAGCGGACAGGAATGGGATGAGAGCGGCAGAACACTGTGAACTGCGCACCACACGGTGGCACTGACATCTCGCCCGTGCACTACTGCCCTGGCACGATTCCTGTCGAGATCACAGCAGGTCCAAAATAAAGTGACAACTAGATTTAATAAATTAATATACATTTGTTTAAAGATGTACAATGCACATTCTGTTTAATCCAAGGTTTTAGGGCATAAGGAACTTCTATGTACACATATACAGATCTCAGACAGCAGTGATGTCAGCAGATGCGGGGAGGAGCAGCGAGCTGTATGAGCTGCCCTCTGAATGCTGAGGATACAAGTCAAGTGCAGTCCACTGAAAACAACGCTGAGCGATCACGGGAACTCTCCAAAGCGAGAAGTCCACAAAGAGGACACATAATGGCAAGGGGAAGGCCAAGGAGTCGACACAGCCACTCTACTCTTGGGACGAAGGAGGTGGCGGCGCGGAGGTGCCCTGCTTGCCAGACTTCCGCTCGTAGTTCACCAGGCGCTGCCCCACAAGGTACCTAGGGCGGAAACACAGGGCAGTTACTCTCTCGCAACTCGTGTATAAAACATCCTGCGTGATGCATTCTAACACGAATCACATCACCTTACTCCTTCTACACCTTGCAGTAGTTAAGAGCACTGAAAGAGGGCTTGAGGAGGAACGCAGAGACAGGCCCTGGAAGTGAGGTGGGTTTGCAGAAGGATGAGGGGGCCTAGTGACTGCCAGACGCCTGCTGCTGTGCAGCGCAGTACGTCCTGCAGTCTGCAGGTCGGGACGGCCTGGGACCTCAGACCCTCGGAAGACGGCGGGGAGTGGGAATGGCCACGGGGGATTTATGTTAAGGTTCAGTTTTAAGCCAGTTCCATGGCACAATCCGAGGAAAGAGACCAGGAACGTGACCGTGAGAGAGCTGGACAGGGGTGGTAGCAAGATCTGACAGCAGCACCCACAGCGTGCGGCCAACTAAGGCGCACACAGAGGCAGTGAGAGTAAGAGGTGGGAAGGCTCGCACGGTGGCAGCCCCGCGGCAAAGAGCTTGTTTCCTCCTCAGGGACATGAAGAGGACAGTGCTGCACCACAGGGTCGGTGTGAGAAGAAAGGGAAACAGTCAGGAGCTCGGCGCAGCAGCCCCCGACGCTCACCACTGTCGGGGCCCAGTCATGGCCCACTGGAGTTTGACATTTGGAAAATAACTTCTTCTTGTATAATTAAGGCATCAACATTTGCTACTCTTCAAGGAAACTGTCTGTTAAACTGGTTTTGACTCTTTGACCCTGACATAACAGGAAGCTCGTTAGCCGAAGATCTGATGTTATCTGTAAGAGTCAGGAACTCACCCTGACATAACAGGAAGCTCGTTAGCTGAAGATCTGATGTTATCAGTAAGAGTCAGGAAATCCGGTCTTTGAAAAACAATGACTTGGTGTTTTTGGTTGTTGTGTGCCCTTAAAAGCTTCCTGTTGCTGTGAACCTATAAAAGGAGCTCTTTCTGTGAAATAAATCAGACTTCTCTTCGTCTCCACTCAGGCTTGAGTGTTCTTTCCTTTCTCAATCCTCACTCCCCGACTCAGGCATGTTCGTGTTGTGACGGCTGGACCGCCACACACCACTGCCTGTGTCCCCCGGCCTTCGCCACTGGTTTCAAAGCTGGTGCACGGCAGCCTCAGGAGACATCCGGCACCTTCTGTCCAGCTGCTTCCTGTGTCACTGCCCGTGAAGTGCTTCTGGATCCATGACCTCAGTGTAGGTTTAGTCTCTCTCGTCACAGCAATTCTTAAAGTTAACAATCTGGCCTCACTGTTCCGTAACACATCAGTGTAACTCAGGACTGCACAGGTTTTTAGAACAGTGATGATACCTGACACAATACACATTCTGCAACCTAGCGCACAAGTAATCACCAGACACTGCAAGCCAGCTCAAGAATGTGTGCCACACTGTAGCAATGAAAAACCCAGGGCATAAAAAGTTTACAGAGAACAGAAATATTAATTTGTCCAAAACCAAAAGTAATTCAGTGGCCGAGAGGTGAGGATCTAAACCCATACCCTAAATCTACTACCCTTTCACTCCCCAACAGTGTCCGCCCCCTAAGCACCACTTGGGGGCCAAACACTATGCTGAAGAGCAGACTCCCAGAGGCAGACAAGACGTATGGAGAGGAGCACCTGCTGGGCTGCAGGGCAAAATGAAATGCAAGAAGCGCTGGGCACGGACTGCCGGTGGACGCCGAGCAGGCAGAAGGCCTCCGAGGGCCAGTTTCATCTGGAGCTTTGGCCGCACATCTCCTCAGTCGAGACAAGCCACGTGATGAACACCCACCAGCCTCAGCGACAGCACCCGCAGAGCCCCAGTCCATCCTACCCCAAGCACACCTGCATACAGTGAGAACGCAGAAGTTGGGCAGAAGCCTTGAACTCTTCCTTTTCATTCTAAAATGTTCTTCTTGGGCCGTGGCTGTGGCCCAGTCCACAGGCTCCACAGCACACAAAGCCTTTGTGTGATTTATTCTTCTGAAAGGCATCCCAGTGAAGAGGTGCTGTCCACAATGACAGAACGGCCCAGGAACTGAGTGAACAGTTACCTTCTCTGCTGGCCACCGCCATGGCCTGGACACGGAAGGAGCTTGGTCGGCTGTTATCCGGCAAGGGGCTTGCTTCAGCTCTCCTCCACCTGAGGCCAGGTGACACAGAGGACCTTCTGCAGGCCCTGAGCCTCGGCACTGTGGTCAGGGTAGCCTGGCCGCCCCGGGTGAGGAAGGCCTTATGCAGGCTCTGCTGGCTGCTAATGCAGATGACTGAATACACTCTCCCTCCAGAGCCTGCCGGATGTGCACTCATAACTCTCCTCCCACACTGGTCGTCTCCGGCTCCACAGCCCCCGCTGCTCGGGCCAGGAGTCCCACAGCCCTCTGCTCCACATCTCACAGCCACCTCAGCACCGACTGAGGAGCCACTGCCCGCCTGAGACGGAACTGGCAACACCTCAATACAAGTGGATTGACCAATGAGGTTCTAGACTTACTTGTCATTTTTAATATGTTCATAAAGGCGCTTAAACTGGCGGACCTGGAAGGAGAGGATTCCCATCAATACCACAACCATCAGTAAAAATGGATAAATCCGCCGGTGGACTAAGTTTTGCATTTCGGCAGTTACACCTGTGAAACCAAAAGGAGAAACTGTAAATGTTCTATTGCTGTGGTCTGTGTGGCTGTGGGGTTCATGTGGGGCTGTCAGAGGCGGGGGCCCTGTCCGAGGGGAGTGGTGAGCCTGCCCCCACTGGATTATTCTGAACACTGCCACAGCCTGCTGTAGCAGAGAGAGCACAGGCTCTGTAGCAGGCTCGTCACAGGGCTTGGAGTTTGACTCTTTCTCTCCTAAGACACGGAATGCATGTGCTCCAGTTCCCCAAAATGAATATCACATTACATATCACAAACTTAAGCTAATAAAAAAGAAAACTGAAAAAACTTGAGAATTTCAGCAAGATTGTTAACTCTATGAGCCTATTTCCTCATCTCTAAAATTTCAGAGGCAACGAAGCACCATGAGGTCCACTCTGTGGAAAGGCCGCTGTGGCCACTACAGCAAGCGTTCATTAGCAGTGGCAGGTTCAGTGCTGGAAGACCAGAGAGGAGGCGAGAGACAAAGGCCTCAAGGTAGTCCAGGGCCACGGTGCCAGAGCAGAGCAGTGAGCTGCAGCCCAGTGGGGGTGGCTGACAGAGTACAGAGGCGAAACAGAGCCTTCAAGGTTTTTCCTTATATCACTTATTCAGTAATGATACCACTCGCTCAGAATTAAGAACAAAAAGATTTTTTTTTTTGGTCTTGAGACAGGGTCTTGTCAGGCTGGCCTTGAACTCTCTATGTAATCCAGGCTGACCTCGAATTCATGGCGATCCTCCTGCCTCAGGCTCCAGAGTGCTAGGACTACAGGCATACACTACCACACCCAGCAAGAACAGAAAGATTTTTTAGATAATTTAAAAAATATACTAGTTTTAATGTCCTGTGAGAAATCTTCAGTAGCAATCAATAATATAACTAGTTATCAAGTGCCACAAATTAGCATCTCCCCTTTGGTTTCTTTTTTTTGTTGTTTTGATTTTTTTTTGAGACAGGGTCACACTATGTAGTTGAGACTGCTCTGGAACTCACTGTGTAGCTCAGGCTGGGCTTGAACTCCCAGCGATCCTCCTGCCTCAGCTCCTGAGTGCCGGGATTACAGGCGTGTGCCACCACACCCAACTTTGGTTTCTCTTTTATATTAAGAATACTTTTGAAGATATAGTAACACTCTTACTTAATTTTGTAAGTACAGGATCACAGCACTTCTAATGAGAAAACAACCTGAAGGAAATCTGATTCTACTTTTGGAAGACTATAAATATCAATAGTTAATCACTTGCCTAGATGAAAAAAAACAAACAAAAAATTACCAATAGATTAAGAGCCTTCTAATCTTACTATGAGTAGTCAAACCTAAGACAAGAGTCGTGAAGTCAGTGTTTGCTTTTTCTTTTACAGGATCATGGATCTAACTCAGGACCTTGCACTTGCCAGGCAGGCTCAGCACTGCTGATATACATCCCCAGTCTGTGAAATCACTGTTCTGTATTTACAAATAAAGCACCTGGGCTCAGACAGCCTTTGCTACCTGAAGTGACACAGATGTGACGGTAAAAGAGGACCCAGAGAAGCTGCTCAGCCAGCGTGACCCACCTAGTAGAGGAACAACACCAGAAGCGATGACATAAGGGACACACAGGGACAGCAGAAGCACGGAGATCACTGGAGCTGCCAGTTTACGGATGATATAGTGAAGGTCAATGTTCCGGATGCCATTTGCATAAACCTAAAACATTAAAAAAATTGGAATAAAGATACTAGACAAACTCCTTCAAATAAATTAACAGTGTGTGCCGGGAGTGGTGGCGCACACCTGTTATCCCAGCACTCAGGAGGCTGAGGCAGGAGGATCGCTGTGAGTTCAAGACCAGCCTGGGCTACATAGTGAGTTCCAGGTCAGACTCAACTATATAGTGAGACCCTGTCTCAAAAAAACAAACAAACAAAAAGAGCGAACAGTACTAAAACCCAGCCACAGTAAATTGAATCTATTGGCCCAAAAGGATTAAAATCAATTATTTTTTCTAAGTCAAGGCAAACTCTAGAGTACAAACATAAGTGTTGGACCTGAACATTTAGATGAAATTCATTTAATAGCAACACTTCCCTGTCAACCCCACGTGAGGAAAGAAGACAACACTCATCTGAAATCAGGATGTGCACCATCCTGGCAGCCTACACGGTAACATCCCGTAAAGGAACACTGCATCCCTTGAAGTGTTGTAACACTTGTGTAATAATGATTTGTATTATTAAATTATACTTATTTTTTATGAATATGAGAAGAAAATATTGAAACAGGAACCATGGTTCTGAAAAGTTGGTATAAACAAATTTTAACAAATTTAAAGGTATTTTATGAAAAAAGTTAGCATGAAAGAATTCTACAGTAAATATAAAAAGAAATTCCAAGAATTTCCAAAATAATTTCTATCATTCAGAAAATTTACTAAACACAGAAATTCACTGGAGGCAAGTGGAAAAACTCTGAAAACAGGAAACTGCTGGAGCGCAGTGGGACCAAAAGAAAGGGCACAGCAGTTTTCCCTCTCACCCTTGCCCACAGCACAAGAATCTCTCTCCGCTGGATCTGCTGCAAACCAAGGCAGCAACGCAAAGCTCACTTCCCTGAGTTCCCAGGCCCGAGCCCCAGCCGCACGTGTGTACGTGCATGTGTGAGCACGTGTACACAGCTACCCCTCTGGGCGGCCAAGGCTCCAGGGCGCTGAGGACTCCAGGTGAAGGCGCAGGCGCAGTACTGACTGCTCCGGCTGCACTGGGCTGCAAAACCCTTCCCTCCTACACACCAAAGGTGCTCAGCCTCTGCCACTGCAGACCGACCCACAGGGCCTTGCTAGTCTGGCACTGAGCAAAGCATGAGTAGCCTGGAATACATTCTTCAGATAATCAAACTCTGTTATGCTGGCTACTTTATTTATTTTTATTTTTTGAAAGCGTGCTTTCCTCATTGAGTTTATTGGTACATTTTAGGTATATAGTACAGTTACATTCATCATTGGGATCCTGTACCTTTACATGACAGGTCTCGGTTCTCATTTTTTCCCCTTATTCCTGCCCTCCCTTCACCCCCTCCTCCCTTCCCTATTTACAAAAACTTTATTTCCATTTTTTCATTTTCTCTTATTTTTTTCTACTTTAAATAGAAAACCTAACATGGAGTAGGATGCTTCCTAGTACAAACTTAATCACATAATGACCAAATTATCCAACAGTCCCAATACAGGAATGGTCTTGGTGCTACACAGCTAGAATATCCCTGAATAATTCTGAGTTTTATTCTTTGTCCCTTGTCTTGCACTTGCTGCCTCGAACAGTAATGACTTCTCTTCTACAGGCTTAGAAACATGGGTGACTACTGTTTCATGGGAACTCTCGCCCTGGAGGAAGCGCATAGGATCACTTCTGCATCCACCTGGACAAGGTTCTAGGCTCTCAGTTACGGGTTCACCTTCAGAGCAGATGGACAGTGGGGTGAGACTGGGTCTTGCCATGTAGTCCAGGCTGGCTTTGATACGGCCCAAGTTGGCCTTGAACTTGCGTGCTAGGACTGCAAAGGGGTGCTGGGATCACACGTGTGCAGCAGCAGGCCTGGCATGGACAACTCGGGCAGTGAGGTACATCAGACTATGCCATCCCTAATATAACATGTCTTCTTGGCATAAGGGTCCTGAGCTGAAGACCACTGAGTAGCAGCAGATGCAGGAGAGCCCCTTGTCCTTCCTGTACTTGCCTCAACGCAGGACAAAGGTTTACTGAGACAGAAGGCAGCACACCGCCTCCCCTAACAAGAGAAGACAAAGAGTAACAACTGAACAGCACACTGACCCTTACTGGGCTGGAGATGGCCACAAAAGCTGCATTAATGGGCTTTCCTAACTAGCTTCAGCTGCTACTGATTTGCTGCCCCTGCAGTCTCAGAATCGATTTCCACTAGCTTGTTACGTCTCTAAAAATTTCCTGTTCTTTCTTGAAATCATTACACAAAGTGGAATTCAAAACCAATTCTTAAAATTACTCTTTCCCAATGTACAAATTATTCCCCCCCTACAGTAATAAAACAAAACTGCTCATTAAAAGAAACTATATTACGTGGTTACACACTCTTGCAATCCCAGCTACACAAAAGGCTGAGGCAGGAGGATTGCTGAGTTGAAGACTAGCCTGGGCAATTCACTGAGACACTATCTCATATTAAAATAAAATTTAAAGGGCTGGGGATGTAGCTCAGTGGTAGAGCACCTGCCTAGCACATGTGAGGCCCTGGGTTCAATCTCCTGTAACAAAAGCATATATAGAAGACCAAGAGTACAGTATTCAAACACAACCATTGGCCAATTCCAATATAACCTTCTCTGAACATGGACTTGCTTACCTGTTCAATTACGGTTTTCAGCCACCACTGAGGTCCCATCAATGTTATAGCTGCAATAATTTTGGCATGCAGGACTCCAAGTGCCCAGTCCTAGGGTTATAAAAACCGTTTAAGATATTTTTGTTGGAGAAGGTGAAAAAGTAAGAAGAGTCAACAAAAGGCCAATAACATGTCAATAATAAGTCAGTACATATCAGTTATAACCAGCAATGTCAATGGGCTCAACTCACCAATCAAGAGAAATAGACTGGCAAAATGGAATAAGCAAAATCCAACAATATGTTGTATACAAGAAATACACCTAGTGCAAAAAGAAGCCTATAGACTGAAAGTGAAAAGAGAAAACAATTCTCCATGTGGCAGGAGCTCAGAAAAAAACAGGGGTAGCAATATTATTTGCAGACAAAGTAAATTTCAAACCAAAACTGATTCTAGTATTACTGATGTAGGACAGTACTGTATCATACCTCTATGAATATAAAATATCTTATACCTGCTTTATGATATATAGTAGGGACCGTGCTTTATCAGAGCTACATTTAATGATATTACTCTAGAATGTTCTCTTTCCAGATGATTAAGATGCTAATAAAAAAAATGGTGCCAGGTACCACAACAGCAACAGGACTTTGCTGTTTTCTGGATATTATTTTCTTTGTTTCTTTTTGTTTTGTTTTTTTTTTTAATGGAATGTGCTGAATGTCTATAACTTTGTTCAGATGACTGCAGAACATGGAAAAGCTGTTGCTGCTTTTGATGCCTAACATACTATTATTAGTCTTTTTATATAAATATATATATAATCTCTCTCTCTTTCTCTCTCTCTCTCTCTCTATATATATATATATATATACACACATATAAAATTGAATTTGGGAAACTTTAACGGTGCTGCCAACTTTGGAAAAAGTCATCCCAATTTACTGTGTTGACTTGGCATATTACAGAAATGGACAGCCATATTGGTCTAGAAATATTAATTTTTTTATTTTTATTTTTTATTTTTTTTCCATGTATACAGGGGTAACACATCGTACTAAATATGTAAGGTCATATCTACATGGATTTGATTACAGGAACTAATAAAGTATTCTCTAAATAATGAAAAAAAAGAATAAGATAAGACTATAAGAGCAAGAAGCAATTTAAATATGTTCAGGGACCGTTTTCATCTTCAGAATTAAGGATTATTTTAATGTTACATCATTGCCTTTTCTCTTTTACTTTCCTTTTTAGTTTTATTTTAGGATTCCCTATTTTTAATGTTCATACAGAGATTTCTTTAACTGAAATACCAAATAGTTTCTTTGGTGTGAAAAACTGTAATAGTACACAGGATCCTAATGAGATAATTAATAATGTGAAATAGGAAGTAAAGGGCTAAAGGTGTAGGGAAAGTGGGAAGGGTGGGGGAAAGGTAATAAGGGAGAAGAAAAAAATATGAGAAACTGAAAAAATGGAAATAAAGTTTTTGTAAATGGGGAGGGGAGGAGGAGGTGAAGGGAGGGCAGGGAAAAGGGGAAAAATGAGAACCAAGACCTGTCATGTAAAGGTACAGGATCCCAATAATGAATGTAACTGTATTATATACCTAGATTGTACCAATAAACTCAATAAAAAATAAAAAAAGATATTTTTGTTGTTTCTAACAATAAACCTAGCAGAGGAGCTGTATACTTTTCTTACATTATATACATAATTTCACCTCAAAACAGAAATTCTGCAGGGTGGTTAGCAGGCCTAGAGAAGATTAACAGGTACTGGAAAATCCAGGGAACATGAAGTTTAATATTCTGGGGTTGGGGATTTGGCTCAGTGGTTCTGTTGCCTGCCTGGCAAGCACAAGGGCCAGAGTTCAATCCCCAGTACCAAAAAAAAAAAAAAAATCAATCTTTTGGAAGTCTACATCATTAACGGAGACCTCAATAAGCAGATAAAATAAATGCCATGATTTTATTTCATCAAACCATCACTGGGCTGCTTTACTGGTTCTGAGCTGATAGCATATGTGCTACTCTTCTGCCAAGCGGGTCCCAGTGCTGTCCGCTGCCAGTCTCCCTGCACACCCAGCTCCTCTCCCGGCCTGGCCTCAGGCCCACCAGCCAGCTCTACAGCAGCTCCCAGCGGTGCCGCAACTCCCACTGCAGCAGCTCATCTCCACATCGCACTGGACCCATGAAGTGCATGTCCCTGCTCGCAGACTTAAGTCTTCCGCACACACAAAGCATTTCATAACCAGCTCTGTTTAATCCTTGAAAATTACACATGTGACACTGAGACCTATTCTTGTATAAAGACTGAAACATTTAATGAAAAGGCTGGAGTCTCCTGTCACTGCTGCCTCAATTTTTTTTTTTTTAAACTGGGAATCTTTATTCTTGATGATTCTGTAATACATGTATCTAATGTGGTTAAGCAAACACTCATTAGGCTATGAGGACTCAGTCAAACTTGCTAAAGAAACTACAATGATAAAATTATACAACTGGAGGAAGAATACCCATGAAATGACACGACTTAATACAGCTGTCAGGTTTCAATTTGAAGAATGTACAAGACAGGGCCGGGGATTTAACTCAGTGGCGCCACACCTGACTGGCAGACACAAGGTCCTGAGTTTGATCCCCGGTACCAAAAAAGAAAAAATGTAAAAGACAGAGTTAAAGCCCATTCATTAAACACATCATTCCAAAATTAGTTATTCCCAGAACTATTAAAATGGGGTGAGAAAAAGAACAAGTAAGAGACTATGTTAGGAAACAAACATTTAATGATACCTTGCTCTTCAGGGGAGTGACTGGAGGCCTTTGAAAACTAATCTAAGAATACACAACCATGTGGCACAGATCTAAATAAACTAGTCTCTTACCATGACTGCCCTGTAAACTGTAACATTCCTCTCTCCAAAGTGACCGTCATCTCACATGAAAATAAGCTGCCAGCAAGGGAACCAAAAACCTAGCTTTGTGGCCATAAATAGAAACCAAAGGAAAAATAACAACTCGTTGGTTAGCTGGTAAAAGTAGAGAATCGGTGCCCCTTCACTGTGCCGTTTTGGTCTTCTTATTCTTGCTCTTTTTGTCTCTCTTCTTCAGCCCATCCATGTTAGCTCGCAAGAGGCTTGAGTAGGCCATCTGAAACTTATTCACTTCTTTGGAGCTCGCCACAGTGCTGATATTCTTTTTCCCATCAGTAGTTCTCAACAGACATTTGTTATCTGAAGGTTCAAAGCCCTCCACAGAACCCTTCTTTGGAAGGGATCTAGTTCGACCATCGTATTTTTTCAGGGTGATGAACATGCTGCCCGACGGCCTGCACTTCTGGAAGAGCCTGGTCAGCTTGGCCAGGAACTGCTCGCTTTCCAGCAGCACCATCACAGTGATGTAGGATCCAAGCCTTCTGCATCTGCTGCCTCAAATTTTTACCCTTTCCAGTAACGGTATGTGGCACAGACCTCCACATTTACCCCAGACCTCCATCTGCAGATATACATATGCATCCCACAGAAAACATGTATCATGTTTATATACACTCCGCTCCTGTTTCTTCTCCTCCTCATCCACTACCCGAAGACCAATATTCCAATTTACTGGTTTAACAGTCCTCCATGTATCTTCTTCAAATTGAGGTCAAAGTTGATATATGGATCTACACACTGAATTCTCACACATCCTTAATCACCAGCGTTCATCCTGCCTGGTGAATGAATAACATTCTGTCTAGGTACACAAAGCTTGTTTTTGTCCACTTTATCTCAACTATCTATAAATTCTCTTGTATCTTATAGCTTTCAGTGATACAGAGAAAAAAAGTCTGATGGCAGTATGACTTATTTTAAGCTTATGAGATTTCTCTTACAAATCTTAACCAAGACATGCCCAAGCATGTGTTTTTCTCCTCAGTTTCAATCTCACCAAATCTGGGGAGCCCTTTCAGTTTTTCTCCTGGTTGTGTCTCAATGCGGTTTGGCACTTTTCTCTTCCAGGACCCCTTGTTACTGGTGGATTAAGATTCCTGGATGCACCTTTACCCCCAACAAGACACTTTTCCAAGATACTTAGCTTCTCAATTTTTCCTTCATTTTCGCTCTGAGCTTTGCACTGACCTTCTAGGCCTCCGATCTGTGCCTCGGCAGTAAGCTATTCTTGCCTTTTTTCACCCACTGAATTTCTTGGAATCCACGCTGTGCGGCTCCATGATGTGTCCCGCAGTGTGTGTGAGCTCGTACACATGGACTCAGCTGCCCGGGTGCATTATTCTCTCACAAGCTTGTAGCTTTCAAATCATTCTGTTACTACTTGAGGCAAGTCTTGCTCTGCCTGAGCTACCCTTCTGTGACTACTGAGCTATTCTCTGTCAAAGCATTTGTCACTTTCCCCTGTAACCTAAGGTTCAAGTTCTGATTCTATCAGTCCTTTACCTCTTCAGACCTTAAGGATAGCCAGCCAAACAGTCCTCTCCTGAGAACTGTAGGGAAGTCTCTGCTTCTTCTGGACCCTCTGAGGCTCACCGGCAGGGAAGACTATACACACTCTACACACCATTTCAGTTTTCTCTTGTCTTTTGGGAGTTCAGATTGCCCCAAAGTAAGGTTAATGTTCATCCAAATTGTCCACAGATTGCTGAGATTCAAACAGCAGTCCTTAAGCAGGATAAGATAAACCACACTAGTTCTTAAGCTAGAATTCTAAACAAGCCCAGCTGTCCATAGGCCTGCAAGCACTTTAGGATCAGGAAAGTGCTTCTCTTTCCAAAACTTCTATGTGTCATGCAGAAGATTAAATATATCATGCTGTCTGCCTCCAGTATACCTTGCACTTTTCCCTTCCTCATGAACATGTGTGAGACCACACATTTCAAAACCACTCTACTGCATTCTCTTCATCTGCTGTGCTCAATTTCAAGGGAAGCTGTGCCACATCTTATTTAGGGACGGGCACCTACATCGCTTCTCATTTCTCTGCCATCATAATGAATGCTGTATGAGCAGAAGCAGGCTTCCTTCTGCATCTTGCATGTACACAGATGTCCCTTTGCAGTGGACTATGAAAAGTCAAACTTCTGGGTCCAAGTATATAAGCATTTAAAAGATGTAATGATATCCAAGAATTCTCCAGAGTAATAAGGACTTCCCAGGTGATCTTAGGGTCACTGCCAAAGACGCATGTGACTAAACCAGCTGCATCTGTTCCTCTGCAGAGCAAGGAAGCACACACATGCACAGGGACCTCAGATTCCCTCACAGAGGACTAGGGAGAGCTTCCCATAGGGTTTCGGCTTGTGTTAAGAGCTTAGGGGAGAGCCGGGGATTTAGATCAGTGGTGCCACCACCTGCTCTCGAGGTCCTGAGTTCAATCCCCGGTATTAAAAAAAAAAAAAAACTTAGGGGAGGATTTAAGGGAGGAGGGCTCTGCTCCGTTCATACTAATTAGAAAGCAGAATAATCTATGACTATGTCAATAACCCTTATCTAGAAAAAGGTAAACTTCAAGGTAACAAAGCATCAGCCAATCGTGTTAGGGGAAGGGGATGTTTATCATTTTATAGTTTTATTAAAAAGCTCATGTTCTCTCTGTTTATCATGGCCACAGAAGGTGATCTGGTTTCTGTCTTCCTGTAATACCAAGCGGCATTACATGACACTGACGCTCTGTGAAGATGTTTGTATCGCACAGGAGAACTCCCTGACCAGCTGACAGCGGCAGGACAGCCTTCGTCATGCTGCTCAGCATCTAACCTGAGGAGGCGCAGATTCACGTGCCTCACCTGTGGTGCTGGCTGATGACTGCATTAATACAGGAGCTGCTTGTTCTGTCCACAACTGATGCTACTCTGCAAAGTCACACTTTGACACCAAGCAGATAACCAATTCTCTACTGTGCTAATGTCACAATGCGCCCCAAACACTTCTCCAGTCAGGCAGCAGGGGCTGCAGATCCCCTTCCCTTGAACCTGGGTCAACCTTTGTGACTTGCTTTTACCCAACAGGATGGAGGAATGTGAGTTGCTGCACCCTCATGAGGTGAGGGAAGGCCTTCCAAGTTCTACTGTGAATGGAGGGACACTCATTTCCTCACACTGCAACCTAAACCCAGCCCTGCAGGTGCCAGAGCCACGGAGGCACAGCTAGGGTCTCCAGCCAACGGCCCACAGCAGGTGCCACACAGCTGAGTACCAGCCTTCATGAGAGGAGGCTGCCTTCCGGTGACTCGGCCTCGGCCTCAGTCACAGAACTCCCCAGGGAGGCCCAGATATAGACCGGAGACAAACTAGCAAACCCCTCTTAATTTCTGACCCACAGACTCTGGGACAAGATAAAATAAAAGGCCACTCTAAGCCAATCCATAAGTGAGTAACTTGTTAAACAACAGTTATAGAAGATCCATGAACCTCTGACCTCATGGGTTCAAATCCACTGACAACCCTTGCTGGAACTGTTTCTCAAATGTTTCAAAGTAGTGGTTTCCTAATTCTGTTAATCCCTCTACCTTTACTAACTGGTATTATTCTATTTTTAAAAGTTTTTTAAATTATTAATGCTATTTGACTACCCGCAATACAGCACTTACTGAAAGCCCTAAGATGGCTTAGTTACCTAAGAAGGGCATCACTTAAACAATTTTACAGGTCTTCTTAGAATAGAACAAAATTAAGGAGTCTTTCTAAATCAACTAAAATCACCTGGAATAATAAGGACTTGTGTCTGACCCCAAATAATTAACGAAACAGCATCAGTGACAGACATACATTTACCTGCCATGGATAAAAAAGAGGAGTCTGATCCAAAGGGACCCTCAGGGGAGCAACAATAACCAGCTCAAACAGGAGCCCCAGCAGGAGCGGGACAACCCCAGCCAGCAGCACCGCCACGATCAAAGTCTTCATTATCTGCGAGGAAACGAGAGGCTATGTCATCACAGAGGATTGTCCTGACAGTCACACACTCTGCACTCTTTCCATGGTTTATTTTTCCACCTGGACCTGATACCTAAAGTACTACATTATTTTAAATAACTTACATCTTTCTGTATTGCATATTTCAATAAAATGTCTTGAATATATAAGAGCTCAAACTATACAAGAACCTGAAAGGTCTATGAACTGTCACTGCAGAAAGGATTACACAAATTCATTTTACTCTATGTTAACCAAGTGGCTGTGTTTTTCTCACAAGTCTACTCTCAGGATTAGGCTGCTGTTGGCAAGAAAAACCACTGACCAGCTGAGACCCCTGATCCAAGGGGCCTACAGCATGTGCTGCTGACCTGCCCCTCTGAGGTGGAAAGGAAGGGAAGGGCTCTGCATAACCCTAAGTAATCAATAAGCCTGACCAGCCTGGTCCAAGAGAACTCACGATGAGGAGGACACCTCCTCCATCTGCTAGTCCAATACAGTGGCCATTTAGCAACAGGGGCTCGGGCACGAGAAAGAACAGCTCTAGAATTCACACTAAGCGGCAAAGCGAAGACAGCTGACACTGAGAAAGAGCAGCCTGTAATGTGGCTTCGAGCCAGATGACCCCATACTTATTTAGGGAGGCCGCAGGGGTACCTCTGTGTCAACAAGCAGCCAGAGGCACCGTACAAAGGACATAACACTTGCTTCTCTGCATGGCTACTTGTGGTTGTAAAGAAGAGCATCAAAGGAGAGGTGGAATTAGCTGGTTTCAGTATTTTAATTTCTTTTTTAGTACCGGGTATCAAACTTTGGACCTTGCGCTTATGAGGCTGGTATTTTAAATATACTTAGGTGTCTCACAACCTTAAGGGTTAAATAGCAGCTGAATCCCTCCACTGATAATTTATAATGAATCTCACTATAAAAAAATGGATTTTCCTAACACATAATGTTATACATAGAAGGAAATGTGGACTACCCTGATTTCATTGTTACACTGTAGCCAGGCATGAAATTATCACACAGTATGCCATAAATCTGTACCATATTCTAAAATCCAAAAAGTAAACATGTTAAAAGGTTTCATATTTTTCTTCCAATATTACTATTAATCAGGTAAACTTTAAGTGAAATCAAAATGTAAATTTAAACATAAAATTAGAGGTGATTATACAAACGTAAAGGCATGAACAATGACCCGAACACTCTCTCCTGGAACCACTGGCCATAGTGAGGAGACAAACAGAAGTGAAAGGAAGGTAGAGGAAGGACTAGAAGGACCTCCCGACTCCAATCCAACAAGTCTGTACTTACCATGAGAGCCCACTCTTTCACCTTCTGGAAGATCACTCTGCGACCCTGGGGCATCCATGCCACCAGCACCGTCACAGCCCGTATGGTGAGCCAGCACACATAGAGACCACAAGCAGCCGTGTAGAGCTCGTGGATCTTGGCAGTGCCCGTCCAGAACGACATTAGCCAACGGCCAGCAAATACTGCAAACAGAAAGGCTGGTGAGCTGTGTGGCTAGGTGAAGAGAACCACAGCCTTGATGGTCTACGAGTGGAATCATAGTACTAAAACAAAACAAAACAAAACACTCGTGGGGGGGGGCAGGGTCTTGCTACGTAGCCCAGACTGGCCTCAAACTCATGGCACTCCTCCTGCCTCAGCCTCCCAAGTATTGAGTTTACAGGCATTGCCACCACAACAGGCAAAAAAACCCCAAAAACAAACAAACAAAACCCCACTCTTTAGAGTATACAATTATTTCAACACTGGTGGGGGGGCAGGGTCTTGCTACGTAGCCCAGACTGGCCTCAAACTCATGGCACTCCTCCTGCCTCAGCCTCCCAAGTATTGAGTTTACAGGCATTGCCACCACAACAGGCAAAAAAACCCCAAAAACAAACAAACAAAACCCCACTCTTTAGAGTATACAATTATTTCATTAATTGTGCCCAACCTCTCATAAGAGGCACTCAGCAGGGACAAATCCTCTGGGGATGTGAATTCTGATATGTTACAATTAATTACTGGTTCTTTCCAGCCTGAAAAGCCTTGAGGGGGTTGTTGTTTGCACTGTTTTTTGTTTGTTTGTTTGTTTGTTTTTAGTACTGGGGATAGAACTCGGGACCTTGCGCTTTCAAGGCAGGAGGCGGAACCACTGAGCTAAATCCCCAGCCCCAGGTTTGTACTGTTTTTATCATCAGCTGAAACAATTATGCACACATGGGATAAAGGTAGGAAATGTCTTTTCCATTATTTGTACTGTCAACACTTTCACTATTTAGGAAGATTACAATTAATATACAGTAATTTTCCCAAATGGCTCACTCATCAATACAGAAAACTAAGCTTCTTTTAATAGAACAGGAACATTTTCAGTCACAATAATCAAAGAATGCCAAAGGACCTGAGAAAATATTAAGACCATCTAAATGTACTGGAATGCATGACACAGATGAGAGCTGTCTAAAGAACTGTTAGAAATGAATTCTGCAGTGCTGCATCTATATGATCTCTTAGACAAGACCATTTAATTTAATAACCTCTTTACCTGATTACTGCTCAATAAAGTTATAAACAACAAGAAACAAATTTCTACTGTATTTTCCCCCTATAATCTGCCTTCCTAACCTGGTCTTTTCATGTCTGAATACCTACAAAAGCCGGAGGCTGTACCGCTCTTCACACTCTCTCGCCACTCTCCCAAGCACTGTCACCCACGCAGACATATCCTCCGCTTTGCAGATTAAGGAACTGGGCTCAGCAGCATAACCTTTCCCAACCCAAAGCAGAGCACAGCTGTCTGGAGGTGTCTGTGAAACAGAGGCTTCACTCTTCCCACAGAGCTGTCAAATGCCACTAGCTGCAGAGTCAAACCTTAGCAAGCAGAATGTGGAGGACTACAGACTTCCTGCAAACTCACAAAACTAAGAGTGAAATAAATTTCTTTCCCCTTGTGGTTGTGGGAACTAAGCTCAAGAACTCACACTAGAGAAGAGCTCTACCACTCAGCTACATTCCCAGTCCTTCTTAAAACAGAGTCCAGCCTGGCCTTGAACTTGCCATTCCCCTGCCTTAGCCTCCTGAGGAGCAGGGTTAGATGCATACACTACTGTGCCCGGCTGAAAATGATTCTTTTAAAGCTGGGGTGTAGCTCAGTGAGAGTGTGCTTGTCTGGCAAGGACAAAGCCCTGGGTTTGATCCCCAGCCCTGCAAAAAAAAAATTTAAATAAAGAGACAAATACATGTAAACTGCCACACTAAAAAGCCTATGTGAGCCAGGCATGGTGGCGCACACCTGTAATCACAGCTCTTCGGGAGGCTGAGGCAGGAGGATTGCTGTGAGTTCAAGACCAGCCTGGGCTACATAGTAAGTTTCAAGGCAATCTTAACTATATAGTGAGACCCTGTCTCAAAAAACAAACAAACAAAAAAAACAAATTCAAGTATGAAAACTAGATTTTCTTCTTTTGTTAAACTTTAAAAAATATTTTTCTTTTCTTTTCTTTTTTTTGGTACCGGGGATCAAACTCAGGACCTTGTGCTTGCAAGGCAGGTGGCGGAATCACTAAATCCCTGGCCCTAAAAAATATTTCTGGCAAAAACATGAAAATGGAGCATAAAACCAAAACTGTAAAACTGCCCAATTTCAAATGCTAAGTATATTTTCAGCATTATGTTTTCTACACTGCACTCAGTCAAGTAGGCTTTACCATTTTGCTTGGTTTGGTACCAGGTATCGAACTCGGAACCTTGCATGTTCGAGGCAGGCAGCAGAAACACTGAGCTAAATCCCCAGCCTGGTTCTGCCATTTTAACAGCTCTGATTTGAGCAGTAGTGAGTTTAAGTGCAAGGTCTTAAGGTCAACAGTCATTATGCAGAAACAGCGAAGAAAGAAAATATTTTTACCAGTTAAACTAAAAACAAAGTTTTGTTTGGAAACTTGAATTTAAATTTCCTATCTGTTCTTTCCCAGCCTTAGAACTCATGGGAAAATTTTTAATACAAATTTGATTTATAAAATTATACTCAGTCAGTGTTACAAACAAGAAACTCAGTATCTACTTAGGTCTAATAGAACTGAAAATTAGCTTAATGATTACTAAAGTAGTTAATGCCTGCAGAATGATTTACAATTTTCTGACTGGATTTAAACAGTGAGTAAAAGGGAAAGCTGCTCTGTGGCCTTGTCGTTTACCTTTGGCCTCTGGAAGATGACAAGCTACTATGCATAGTCAACTGCAGTTGTCTTATCTGTCAGATTAAGACACTCTGATAACTGAAATTTCCAACAAATTTAAGGCCAAAAGAAAATGAGTATTTGTGAGTAGCAGATAATAAAGGGAAACAGTCTGGCTTTACAATGTTTTCTATCAACAGTATGAATGGACTGGAAAGCAATACCATTAATGTTCAAAGACTGATTTGAAAAAATTACTTCAGTCATACATGACTTTTTGAAAATCCATACTGTAAAATAACCAAGGAAACTGAGTGATCACAGGTACTTTACTTCTACAACGAATGCACAAATATCTTGACTGGGTTCCCTGTGCTCCAACATGTGAGTCCAGTAAGATGAAGAGCCCCCGTCAGTCAGTACCCTACATCAAAATGAAAGGCTAAGTATCTCAGGTTTGTATCACATTTCTGCACAATCAGATATTGTTTAAAACATCCTGATGCCGGTGGGTGCAGACCAGGACAAGCTCCTACCTGGTAAGGTAAGGCAGATGAGGCTGGCAATCAGCAATGTCACACACATGAGGACAATCAACACCAGAATCTAGGAGGCAAAAAGAGACGGTTCACACACTGGGCAACTCAGGGTGCCATGCTCTCCAGTCTTCACAGTTCTCCCACTAAAACACTGCCTGAATCTCACATAAAAGGGGGAAGTTTTTCAATTTTTTTTTTTTTAACAGACAGAACCCTGCTATATGCTATCCAGGCTGGCCTTAAACTCCAGGCTCAAGTGGTTTTTCCTGACTCAGCCACCCCAGTATCCAGGACTATAGGTCCACAGCACTAAGCAAACAAAAGGAACGCTTTATTATGGTAAGATTACCTATAATCAAACTCCAAAGTAAAATAAGTGCCCATTTTCATACATTTAGATACATTCCACAAGTAAAAAAGCAAATACTTTGTAATCAATGAGCATAAAAATAAAACATACCCTCCCTAAGTTTGCCCTTGCTATTAGTAAAAACAAAATGTTACAAATGTAAAGCATTCACGTTTTTAGTACCCAACAGTGCTTATCCAGCTAGAACGCTCTGTGGTAGTAGAAATGCCAATCTACCCTGTCTCACACAGTTGTCACTGGTCACATGCACCTGTTGGGCACTTAACACATGGCTGGTGTGAAGAGATTTTACATCTTAGTTTTCGGGTCTTTTATTTGGTGCCAGGGATTGAACTCAGTTCCTTGAACTTGCAAAGCAGGCGGCAGCACCACTGAGCTAAATCCCCGGCCCAGAATTTTACATTTTATTTAACTGTAATTTAACCTAAATGCACATAGCTGCAAACAGCTAGAACTCCTGGATGCTGGCAGTGCCCGTCCAGAAAGATATTAGCCATCGGCCAGCAAATACTTCATACAGAAAGGCTGGTGAGCTGTGCGGCCAGGTGAGAGCCCATGACGGTGATGTTCTAAGCGCGGTCTTATAGCACCAATGCTAACAGGAATCTGAATAGAACAAACTCCTCCTTTGGGCGAGGTCTGCACAGTACCTACCCTGAGTGGGAAGTTTAAAGGCCGGCGGTAAGGCTGGAAGCCAACAGGACCTCCCTGCTGGAGGATGGCTTGGTGGGCTGCATGCAGGCCTTCGCCCACCACAGGAATAGCGTTGTTATTTCGAGCATGCTGGTTATTGTTCACTTGTTGATTCGCACTGTTCTCATTTTCTTCCTGGTCTCCCAGTAAATAGGAATGAAGATCCCTGTGCCAAAATTGTATCAGTGAAAATTCTTATTTCAGGCCAGAAGAAAATGGCAGATATGAATGAGACTTTATTTTCCTAATATGTACTAGTAAGGGTGGCACATGTCCAGGTAGAATCTGTACACAGAGTTACTTCCGGTCTCAGTGCTGGTGCCTACTCCAGAGTAACCATTCCTAAACTTACTGTCAGCTAAACTGTGGGAGAGCCTACATACTCAACCTATTTGATGTTTGCTTCTGCCAATTTCTCCACGGAAGAAATCAGTAACTTTAAAAGCTCATTTACCAGGTTAGAATCTCTTAAAAGATAAGCTACTTTTGTTATTTTTTTATTTTGCCCTGTGTAATGGCATAATAAAAGCTTGGTATGCAGCAAATCTGAGAGGGTAAAAATATGCAAAATTTTTCATAAAAGAATTGATAACGATAAAAATTAAAAATTTTAAACAAATACTGTGTATACTTGTACATATTACTACATTATCACTGACTGAAACTACCTTTTCCTGAGTAAAGCATGGGACATACTTTGTTGCAATGATGCACGTGCTCAGGGAGTGGGCTGCCCGTACTCACAGCAAGTACCCAGCAGTGACGGTCCACGCTCGCACAAGCCCCTTCAGCCACTGCCTCGTGTGTCCCTGCTCCAGTAACGCTGGCAAGACGACTTGAAGCAGAAGCAGCTCAAGGGACAGTTCACTCACTGGAGCATCACTGAGATGATGACAAAAGGCCATGATTTAAAAGGAGGATTCTCTTTTCCATTACAACTATCTTAAATATCTAATGGAATTAAAACGAAGTGTCAAATCACTCATTGTCTTTATTCCTCCTCCCACTCTCTCTCAAAGCCAGTGAGGGTTTCTTCCTGAATGCTACCAAATCATCATGTCACTGACCCAGCGGTCAGGCCTTGGTTCGCACTTGGCTGTACTAGCAGCAGGCTACACCACTTTCTCCGCAGGACCTGTCCTCCCTGCACAGCTTCCAAGACCCGCTCATGCTCTTCCACCTCCTCAGCCTGGAAACACCACACTGCACTCTCTTCTCCTCTGTGCCACTCCCGGGGTTAATGTGAATATCTGACTTGACATAACAGCTTTCTGAACCTTCCCACCCAGGACCACATGTGCAACAATGGAAATAACCCTCAGTGGCAGAAGGAGTTGCTCCGTTAGGGGAAAATAAAACTGTCATCTGGATGTTCAAAGAAACTGCCAAAAGCTTGCCAGAAAATGGGAAGAGAATAGTAAGGCAATTCTGACAGCGGTAAGCACGGTCAGAGAGGAGACCACAAGTCAGACAATGCTGGTGGGGCGCTAGAATGGAGCCTGAGAGTTTGCCAAGCTCTGGACATCATTCTAACTGGCCTGGGTATCATTGTGGAAAGTATTAAAGAACCACTGATGTTTTATTTGTTTGTTTGTTTGCTTTGGCACCGGGGATCAAACTTGGGCCCCTGCACTTTCGAGGTAGGCAGCAAAACCACTGAGCCGAAGCCCCGGGCCTATTTGTCTTCTTGTTGAGAGGTGGTCTCACTATGGTCTGAACTCCCTGGCTCAAATTATCCCCATCTCAGCCTCCTGAGTGCTTGGACGAGCCCTACACCACCAGGTCAGCTGCTGATGACTTTTAAACAGGAATCATACGATCAAATTTCTAGAAAACCTAGAGATACTGTTAAGGATTACAAATGGAGACAAGGGGGCCAGGGATTTAGCTTCGTGGTTCCACCGCCAACCTTGCAAGCATAATGACCTGAGTTCGATCCCCAGTACCCCCCTCCAAAAAAAAATGGAGACAAAAGGGAAGGCCCAGACTAAGGAGGTAGTAACTCAAGGGGGATTAGTCAAAGATGTAAAGGAATTAGAACTGACAAGTACTAGACATAACAGAGGTCGGCAATATAGCTCAGTAAAGCATTTGCCTAGATGTGTGAGCCCCAAGTTCAAATCCTGATACCAGGAAAAAAAAAAAAGACTCAGAAGTAATTTGAGGAAATTCAATTTGCCTGAATTTGGGAGAGTGACTGTGGAATAATGCAAATCACTAAGAGGACATGGGAAGAAGAGCTGAGATTAGGTTTCTAAATAAACTGAAATTTTAAACCAAAATGAGTTTTTCCATCTGTAAGCTTTACACCCTAATTTTAGTCCATAATTAAATGTGCACCTTTGGCTTCAATCCTTATACCGTGCTTTTCAAAATAAAGATAATGTTACTAACACATTCTTAGAAATGGTAAATAAAGCACTTCAACATGAACAAACACATACTAAACAATGCTTATGTGAGCTAGAAAATGACAAAATGTTAACTGTCAGAGGATTTCTAACAGCTATAGAAGTGACTGCAACTCTAATGTATCCTGAACAACTCCCAGCAGTAATCAACTATTAAGCTACATATTCTAAAGTTTATAGCTTACCTATAAAGCATGACGTTGTAGGGGAGGAAATGCGGCAGCAGACTCTTGATTATCCGTATCGGGAGCCAGAGCATCAGGAGGACGATGGAGCCAAAGACAATCTGCAGGAGAAGGCAGAGACGAGGCCCTGAGAGCCAGCTCCGTGGGTGGGAGGCGGACCCCATACTCGGCCCGCTCTTGGCCCAGGCCCGTGCCCACCACAGCCCTCAACCTTGGGCTGCTCTGCAAAATCATATCCCTAAGATGGCTGCTGCCCTGACCAAAAAGCTCTCCCTTCTCTAGGCCATAAGGACGAAGACAGCAGGCACAAGGGAGAAGCACTGCATGGCACGTGAGAGAAGAGAGAACTCGCCGTCTAGGAACAGAACCACTACAACCAAGTAAACCTCCTGTAGCCAGTAAGACGTGACCCGAGCTACATCCATGAAAGTCACCAAAGCGCACAACACTGCATTTAAGACATCATTTTGGAAAATCTTGGATTTAACCACATTAATTCTTTCTCCAATGAGGAAGAAATTCTAAAATGCTCTATTAAAAATTTAATTTAAAAGCCAGTTAACAAGTCTCAAAACAAAACAAAATAAAAAAACAATGGAAAGACCTGCTTACCACTGACAAAATGAATCTTCGGAGATGCCTATAAATGGGCAAGTGGATCATTTCCTGAACTGGGTTAAAATCTGGATCATTCAAATTCCTTAGAAACCATAAGACACCAGGTCGAAGTACCTGAAAATATATTTTAAAAGTTATAAATATTCACCAATGTCTTCAGGCTCTGTATTTAAGCACCTGAAGAAGTATTTTGCCATCTCAAATAGGTCCCAGAAAATTCATATGGTTTTCACAGAAAACGAAATCCCTAAACCACAACGTTTATGAAGTCTGCCCTGGTTTTGATGATATTTAACGCTTTTAATCATTCACTCATAAAAACACCCAGTCCAGGTGGCGCACTCGGAAGGCTGAGGCAAGAGGATCACTGGGTTCGAGACCACCCTGGGCTACATAATGAGTTCCAGGTCAGTCTCAACTACATGTTTTAGAGTCCACATATAATCACAGTTTTTAAAAATCCATCACTGTACTATTTAATCTGAAATCATTTATCTCAAAAACAAAACTAGATCTTACACTGTGTGATTCAGAAAGATCTGGCCCCACCTCTTTCTCTCCTCAAATCTTTCAAAGAGCGCAGCACCACAGGAACAACACTCAGCCCTGTGGTTCCCTGTTCCCTGGCCTGCTCCTCCCCCAGCCCTCACCTCTCCATCCCCAGTCTCAGCAGAGCAAACAAACTTGTTTGATGGCTGGATTCACAGGCATGGTGCCTTTGTTTCTATTTTCCAGCATCCAGTGAGGTCTGGCAGATACATTTTATTCATTAAATACTAAGCTGCTTCATCTTCACTTTCATAAGGACCAGATTCTGCGAACAGGGTGAGTAAAGGTGCCCATCTGGCAAATGAACTGGAATCATAAAAACCCACACTGCAATCCTGCACTTAAGATGCCTCCCTTCAAAACCATTTTATGTACTGAATTCTACAAAGCCATACATTTGGGGGTTATTTCCAGCACTACAGTTCCTAGAATGAAGTCTGAGACAGCCTCATAGCATACAAACTTCCCAGCGTGTATTTTAGATGGGAATGAGACATACCAAATAAAGCAAGTACTCACACTTCCTTTCTTGGTGTAATCATATTTAAAACCCATAACTTGTCGATTTTTGACACATACAACTGAAAACAGTTTAAAACAATCAATCCAAGGGGGTGGTGGTGCATGCCTGTAATCCCAGCACTCGGGAGGCTGAGGCACAAGGATCGCTGTGAGTTCGAGACCAGCCTGGGCTACATAGTGAGTTCCAGGTCAGTTTCAACTACATAGTGAGACCCTGTCTCAAAAAACCAATAAATAAAGCAATCAATCCAAATTTCTCTATTGGTTATTCCTTCTCAGAACAGTGAAGAATGCAGTTTAATGAGGAAACCATCCCAGCCTCTGAGGCATGACTGGTGGTCAAACAAAAAAGAGCACAGCATCAGCATTTCCCACAGGACTTACCTCTCTGAGCAGGAGGATGAAGGAGGCGAAGTAGAACACATACACCATCCCCACCAGCCAGTGCAGGAACATGGTAGTGCCTGGGGCTGACTGGAAGCTCAGTTCTCGATCCTTCAGAGTAGCATCAAACATTTCCTAGGCCAAAAGAAGACAGGTGAGAGATCTATACTACCTGCATTTTTTGCCAAATGAACATTTCCACCTGCTAAGAAGTGAATAATCATTATGTACATAAGGTATGCTGTCCTAGGACTGCAGTTCTCTTAATGCTATTTCAGTGCTACAGAACTACATGACGTAAGAACAGATACTATTTCAAAAATGCATATTATATATTTTCAAACAAAAGAATGATAAACCAATTGGCAAATAAAAACTTTATGAATACTATTTTACAATAAAACAGGCATTTTGATTAAAGATCTTACTTTGTTGTTTAGGATAATAAATGTTTGACTTACCAGGGAACAAATATCCAACCACCAGCCACAAATGAGAGGGAACACTCCAATTTCTACCACCACTAGCAAAGAGACCTTAAGTAAAAATAAAGATCATCAATATTTCCCAAATGAAGGAGACAATGTTTCTAGTTTTTTAAATTTATAATATGAATTACCTTAACAACAATATAGCAGACTCCCAGTAAGCGACGAGATCTATGAAATTTAACAAGAGTTGCCAGGCCCTACACATCTAGTTAAGGAAAAAGTGAACATCTGAAGGTGCAGTGAAGGGGTAACTATTCAGATTACATTTCTCAGACAGACTTTATTTCACATTTTGTCTACACTCGCCCTTAAGAGGACAAGGAGAAAAAAAGTAACTTTGTTATTAATGAGAACCACACTTTGGAATGAATGTTGCTGCTCACCCAAATTAATTCATTAAAGGATACATGACAGATTATCAGTGTTATTGCTAAAAGAATATACCCAACTATGGTTGTGATTAGGCCTTCAAAATGAGATGCTTGGACCTAAAAAATAAAACATAACAAAACAAAAATTTACTTAGTACATGGCCTACAGCCTAGTTTTATGGCTGTACTAAACAGTCCAAATGACTAAACATGAACCATGCAGGCAACATAAAGCTAGACAATATAGAATTAGATGACACCTCTGGAAACTGGACTCTCCTATACCCAGACTGCATTTATCAGTAAAGGATAGAGGAAAAATTAAACAACAACACTCTCCCCAAGGAGCCAAAATGACAGCAGAGTGAATGAAATTTGACAAAAGCAGGACCACTGGAGCCCAGCACTCTGCCTTCTGTAAGGGAGGCTGCTCTAGCCCTCCTCAACAGTGCAACATGCCAACTACCTCTCTTCCCCCACGAGAAGGGCCTCCTTAAGTTACTCCTCCACTCCAAGTCAGTTCCACTGACTTACAGAGAATAAAGATTTAGAGGTGACAAATACTGCCATCTGTATCGTCTTTGGTTCCTAAGTTTCAGATAGCAAGTGGCAATTCCTTATCAAAGCACTGATGTGAACCTTTTGAGTTCTTGCTTGAACCAGCAAGAATCAAAGGGCTCTATTAATAGTGGAAAGCTTCTAAACATGCTCTCAGGTCTCGCATAAACAAAGTGAACAGAAGATCCCAGTCAGGCAGCTCTTCCTTAAAAGACCAAGTCCATCTAGAGCCCCCAGAAAGGAGTAGTAATACATATAAATATTTACCTCTAGAACAGAATGATAAAATGTCAACATTCAAGCAAATTCTTTTAAAGACATGTAGCTTATCATTCCAAGACAGCCTATTCCTTTAAAAACAAAAAATCACCAACATACTGTTCCTTTTCTAAATGCACTAAGGGTCCACTGGGAAAGGGGAGAGAAGGGAACACACAAGTTCACAGAGTGGGTGGAAAGTCAGCCTGTGGCAAACTCCTGCAGGCTACCTCAGGCCCGCCCAGCAGGAGAAGAGTGTGCTATGGGATTTCACAGCACACTTGTTAGCTGGCAATATGACCTTCTATCTCGCTTTAGCAATCATTAGCATCAAAAGAAAAGAACAAGATTGCACTGGGCAACTATTCCTTTGTAGAGGACAGACTGAGAAATGAAGTAAGAATATTGTGACTTACTCAGAAAATATCAACTTCAAGGGTAATTAATGAAAATTAAGTTTGCAAAAGTATTATACTCACATGTTCTTCAAATCCCAAACCAACAAGGGAGAAATGACCAATGTGGTAAGGGCAAAATGCTAAAAGGGAGGAAAAAAACTCAATGAAAACTGCAGCATCAAAACAATGAACACTAGACCTGGGGATGTAGCTCAGTGCCGCTGCCTGCCTTGCAAACACAAGGTACCGAGTTGAAGCCCCAGTACCACCCCCCAAAAAACAAAACAAAACAAAAAAACAATGCACACTCTTTACACAACCTCCCACTAAAAGGAATCAGGGCTTCTTGGGGAGATGGAAGATTCCAGAACTAGGCCAAAAATGTACTGTTACTTGGGACATTTTCTCTAAACAAGAGAAAATTATCGAGGACTGACAGTGTTTCTGGCCTAAGAGTGGACAGCGTGAGGAATGGGGATATAGCTGTTGTAGAGCTCTTGCCTAGCATGCACACAACCCCATGCTGGGTTCTAAACAAGAGACACCAAGAGAAGGGATGAGCTGAGCATCAAAAGAAATTAATGAAAACTACTAGAAACACATGTTGCTCATATACAAATCCATGAGTTCTTAATGTTCAAAACAGAGAAAGCCCAAAATAACCAGAAATGAAAAAACAGCAACATCTTAGAAAACACATTTTATGTTTTGAAAGCAGTCAGCACAGCAATGGAAGTATTTAATACATCAATTTCTTACTCTGAAACTGATAGTTAAAAGGAACACTGAGCATCTGTGTGGCTTCTCCTGAGCAACAAAGTTCAGGTTAAAATAATGGTCCTTGTTGATAAGAATAAATCCTTTTTTAAAGAAAAGCCAGCCAATAACATAAAACACGACAGAACGTGCAATTGTACTTTCCCAACACCTCATGAGTGACTCAGGCAAGCATCACTGAGGGCTACTACAGTCCTGAGTGAACGGGGCCACTGCCCAGTTGCACGGCACTGAAGCAGCACCCACAGGTTATTTCCTCATGGTAAAGGGAGAACGCAACCTAGGAAGAGAGGTCCAGGGCTGGTATCTCCCAAGTCCGCTGATAAAAATAGTTAAGCCCACATCAGATACTTTCTCACATGTCATATAATGCCAAAATGTGAACAGGGAAGAACGTGTCACGAATGCATTGAACTTAAATGTGATGTCCTTCAGAGACGGGGACACACACGACACACGACGACACAGCAGACATCCAGAAAGCAGTTGCGCAGACATCAACCATGACATGGTGTACAAGGCTCTAAACTCATCAACTAATCAATGGCAAAATGGGTGGGTGAGGGGCAAAGCAATAAGCATTCCAGATTAAAACAAACTTAAGACTTGGCTTAAAAATAAAGTGTGGGCCTTATCTGGATCTTCATCCAAAGAAAACAACTGTAAAATGTCACATAAGGGGAACCTTAAGAATTTAAAACATAATTCTGATAATTTTAATAAATTCTGATAAGAAAAAATGGCACTATAATGAAGAAATGCCCTTAAAATTTTCAGAGTAAGCATTTTTTACTCTTTCCACAAGCCTTTCTTGCCAAGTTTTACTTTGTTAATAAAAAGTAATTACATTTTTTAATAGTAAAAGTAATTGAGTAGCACACTAAATTATGAAGGAAGGGAATAACTCAATCACCAAGACAAAAGGCACAGTGAATCTACCAGGGACTGGCCCACAAACCTGTACTGTATATTCCTTAATATCCTGACTTACACATAGAACAAAAGCCTACAACAAGACTCCTAGGAAAGCTGAGTTGCTACCATAATAACATAAAAACACTTACCAAAAACAAGAATGAACAGTGTATTTAAAGACACCACCCAGAAGACATGTTCCTAAAGGGAAAAACCATTAAAAACAGTTCATATTCAACATATTTAATTTGACACTTACTATTTAGCTATAGCTTAGTTTCTCTCTATAATTTTGAGATCATGTACTTTTCATTTTTCATCAGATAGCTCAGAAATCTAAGACCAAAAGTGTATAATGTTGCATGTAGAAGAAACAAATCAATTTATAAACATTTTCTTTTGTAGAAATATCCCAACACCACCTGCGCAGGTTTTCAAGAAGTCAAACAACACGAAAGACCCCAGTGAGGTAAATGTGGGCATCACCCTGACTGTAAGGAACACAGTCGTGTAACGGGACAGTGCTGCTTTCAGTTTTCATGGCTTCAGCAAGGTCACTACTGCTCGGCCACCATCTCCCTCTGGGAAAGGCTCTCTGGATGTTCTCCAGTCCCAGCCCCGCCTGGGAGGCCCTGGCTTTCTTTACTCCCCTCTCAGAAGAGTCCTCACCCTGCCATCTGATACCCTCCAGGCACATCACACACCCTCTACCAGTCTCCAGGCCACAATGGCAGTAATACCCAGTCCCACCAAACCATCAAGTTGAAGGACCCTTCCAAGGGGTCAACGCAGTCACACTTCTTTTCAGATTTCTCTGTTTGGGTCCCCTAGTCTTCCACAAGTCCTATTGGCAGGAAGGGTGATAAGTTTGCCTTAAGGAAAAAAATGACTAGGTCGGGCATGTTCAGGGTGGTATGAATGACTACTTAACACGGAGCCTCAGTTTTTTTTCAGCTTCTCTGCCTTAAGAACTCCCAAACTCATGGGGAAAAAATGAGGACCAAGACATGTCATGTAAAGGTACAAGATCCTAATGATGAATGTAACTGTACTGTACGCTTAAAAAGTACCAATAAACTCAATTAAAAGAAAAAAAAAACCTCCCTAACTCTATCCCCAGAATCTTCCGTCTCGACCTCTAAGTTATCTTCTCTTAAAATGTCTTGCTGACAAACTCCCCCCACTGAGAAAGATCTGACCAATGTGTCCTGGGCACACATTTTGTACTGAATCTGTTTTACACACACCTCTCAACTTCCTGGTTCACATCTTCCTTTCTCTCTACTAAATGAAGAAGGATCTCTGGGAACAGCACCTTGCTTCATTCACTTTCAAACACCAAATAGCGGCACTCAGTAAATATTAACTATGAAGTGATGAAGTCACGCAAATTTCCAATTTGAATGAGTTTTGGTCAACAACACTGCCTCAACTTTCTGTAATTCATTTATGAGACACACAAATCCCCAGGGTTTACAAACCTCAGAGTCTCTCAGAAATATGAGATATAGGGATATAAATGAGTAAGTCACTAAATAACACCTTTTTTTCTGACTGTGATCAAACCTTGACTACAAACTCACTGATACCACATTCCCACTGAACTGTGAATGACACCTTTGTTCATCTCCAATTTTCTTCATCTCCCACTGCTCTCCCCGGCTTTGGACCCTAGGCTGTAGGTTTGCAGCCGTTCCTGGGTCAACACGGGTGGGGCCAGTGCACAGAAACCTAAGATCAGACTGCAGCTCTTAATAGGAAATGCACAGAGCTGTTTTGTTTATACTGCTACAGCTTAACACTGCAAGGATGAATTTTAAAGATCAAGTTCTTTTAACTACCATAAACTTTGGGCTTTTCTTTTTATAAAAAAAACCAAACAGTTCATAGTAAGTTCCTTTTAAGGTATTTTTCTAATATTTTCAATACATAAAATAGAGTTCCTTCATATGAAGGAATCAAAAGGGCATTCTGACTTTTAATATGAAAAGGAAATACTAAATTTGACATTACTGAATAATCATAGAAAACTACTTCCCGTTTCTGTTATTAAAAATAAACATTTTTCCCCGCCAGGGTATCTGCCGAGGCTGTGCTTCTGTGCCCCTCTAGGACAAGACCTCCTTTCGGCCCCAGCACTGCCAATGTGGCTGCTGGGGATAGGACACGGGGCCTGTGCAGACTTGGGCTTCCTGCTTCACCGCAGGCCTTCCCAGGGGTGGAAGGCAGAGCTGAGTGTCGTCCATTGCTGTTGCCCCATCTGTGGTGCCTGATTCCCTGACTGAAGGCACCAGACTCGAGCTTCATCTGTGATGCCAGGAGCCGGCCAAGACCCTCCAGGCTTCAGCAGAGGAGCCATGCCATCTTGGATGTAGAAACTCGAGGGCTAGTGGAGCCATAGTTTGGGGCATTCAGTGGGCCACGAGAACACTTTAGCAGTCACGGTCCTGCCCACTTAATACTAGTAGTGAACCCAGTGGTGGGACAACTGCACTCATGTCCTTTGTATACACTTTCCAAATGGCCGTGCAGGGGACTGCTGTGGGCTGCAGGGTATGGCTCTGCCCCTAGTGATCACAGGACTTTTCTAGTCCTGACTCTGACGTGTGGGCAAAAGCCTAACTGCCATGAAGAAGGCTGGGGGAGCCCCGGCATGCACACCATGCTGACTTCCATGTGTCAATAGTTGTCCCAGTGCAGCCAAATTCTAGGATGACTGTGAGGAAAACTCCTTCACAAATTCCTAGAATCAAACAACTGGCCCTTGTGTTTGCCAGATGGTAGAAGCTGATGTCTGTAGACACTGCCTGGAATCCTGTGCTTTTCTTTACTCTTTAAATGCCAATTAAGAAGGTATCCTAAATTGAAAATAATGATAATTAGTTTTACTTACAAGAAAAACTAGTGATCCATCAAGTCCTAGCATCTAAAAATAAATAACAAGAATCATTAGTACAAGATGCAACACAGAGCCAAGGATGCAGCTCAGTGGCACTGCATCTGCCTCACAAGCACAAGGCCCTGAGTGCAATCCCCAGTACCCCACCACCCAAAAAAGATGCAACATGATTTTCTACTCTTACCAAAAAAGGCTTGTTTTCCTTTAGTACCTGGTTTTATTTTTGGTGCTGGGAATTGAATCCAAGGCCTTCTGCAAACTAGACAAGCATTCTACCACTGAGCCATACCCTCAGCCGATCGTTCTGGTATCTTTAACCATAGTTTTAATCCTCTACTTTTCAATACTATCATTTTCAGAGTGTGAAAATTTTGTTTACGGGAGTTTTATGTTTTGAGTCTGCATGTGTGTGTGTGTGTGCATTCCGAGACAGGATCTTGCTATGTAGTCCAGGCCAGTCTTGAAGGTAAAGATCCTCCTGTCTTACCATGATCAGTGAGGTCTCCTTTTTTTGAGACTGGGTCTCACTGTTGCCAGGCTCGCCTCAGACTCCTGACTCTGTCCCAGCCCAGTCGCTGGGAGTATAGGTGTGGACCATGACTGGCTTTGAGTCTACTTCTCTTCCAAATCACATGATTATAAAGTCCTAATAAATTCCAACTTGGGTTTAATTCTTACGTTAAAGACCCAGTCAACATAGCTATTTTTGTGAACTGAAATGTGAAAATAGTTCTTAAATTTAAATCATTATCTAGTTTTTCCAAGTTAATATTTTCAAGTGAAACATTGCCTAAATGAAGCCCAGTTTGTATTAAAGGCCAGAAAACAGAAAAACAGTCATCAGTGTGATTGTTTTTTAATCACAAATGGTGTATCATTTAATTTTCTGTAGAAATTAAAACTCTGGTAACTATTTTTCATCAAATGTAATTATAAAAGTAATACATACATCTAAAGATGCCCTATTTTAAAATGTAATTCAGGACACTCACTCGTTCCCATGTAAGCTCTTCTGCAGCTCGGTCCCATTCCAAAGCATTCCAATTCATGTCATCTGGAGGTGTAATTGCATAGTAAAGATTACTGATAGAAACTGAACTATAGTAATAAAATGTACTCTTTTAATTAACAGGCTGTTGAGAAGCTAAGCCATATTTAATATTTTCCTATAATGAATATTTGCCAGCTAGGCAATAAATCCTACAGATAAATACATACCTATAAATAAACAAAACATATAAAGTACAGTGATCCTAAACTGTGGTGAGCACTAGAAAAGGTCACATGAAGGAGAAGAATTCAATAGCTCTGGGTGAGACGTGAATCTGGTGGATCTGAGGAGACAATAATCTGGGGACTAGAAGATTCTGAGTGAGGAGGGGGCCATGGAAGATAAAGTATGAAAGGCAGGTATATAGATCTTGAGTTCGGGGCAGCAGACGGAGAGTAGAATCTGTCCGTAGCTTCAGAGCGTGAATTGTGTCCGGGTCCAGGTTCCCCATGGTGCACACAGCTCACCTCTCAGCCATAAACAACTAGGATTAGAAGTCCCATTTGACCCAGCTATTGCCCTGCTGGGTATCTTTCCAAAAGAATTAAAAGTATCATACCACAGCAATAAACGTGCTTCCATGTTTATAGAGGCACAGTTCATAATAGCTAAAACTTGGAAACAGCCCAATTGCCCATCAACTGAACAGTGGATAAAGATGTGTTTTTTCTATAAAATGGAATACTACTCAGCCATAAAGAATGAGAAACTAGTCATTTATAGCTAAATGGATGCACATTGAGGCCATACCCTTAAGTGAAATAAATAGGACACACGTGTAAATACTGAATAGTTTCTCTGGTGTGAAAAACTAAAAGTGTAAATAAGGTTCAAATTGTATAACTGATGTGAAATAGGAAGAAAAGGGCTAAAGGAGTAAGGGAAGGGGAAAGGAAGGAAGGGAAAAGAAAAAATATGAAAAAAGGAAAAAATGGAAATAAAATCTTTGTAAATAGGGAAGGGTGGAGGGAGTGAAGAGAGGGCAGGGGTAAGGGGAAAAAAATAAGAACCAAGATACATCATGTAAAGGTACAAGATCCCAATGATGAATGTAACTGTACTGTGTACCTAAAATGTACCAATAAACTCGATAAAAGAAAGGCAGACAAGGGATCGCATCATATAAGGAACCTGGTCTTTGCCTTTCATTTTATTTTTAGTATAGTGGGAAAAGCACAGAAAATTTTAAAGGCAGAAGAGCAATGTGAACCGTATGGGGCAAGAATGGAAAGAGGACCACTGCACTGGGCACAGCAAGAGATGATGGGGACCTGACAAGAGGGTGGCAGCAGCCAGCAGTGTTCCGGGTCTCGAATGCTTCCCTGCAGAGGTGCACTGCTCCCGTTACACTGCTTTCTTCTTTTCACCCTCCAGGTCTCAGCTCAAAACCCACTTACAGTGAGCTTCCCAGGAAGTCTTATTTAAAATTATGTCTCTCCTCAGAAGCATCTTCAGAGAGAGCTGTGCAACACACCAGAATGGGTATTTCCTACTTCTTCCATAGCCCAGAAAGCCCACGAAGGTGGGACCAGGTGTTTGGCCCACAACTACATAGGGAGTGTGTCAGGGAGCGCCTGGCCCAAGGAGACACTCAGACACCAGTCATGTCAATGGACCCTGCACAACACAGCTCTTTGCAGGTAAAATGTGGTGGCAGAAGAGAGAAGGCACTGTGCTGAGGGCTGACTGGCAGATCCCACCTTGGATCTTGGCTTACATTCTAAATTTACACAGCTAGAAAATGAAAAATTGGTTGCTTTAGGTGGCACCTCACCTGCAGCATATACTTCAAGAATTCCTTTTTAGCTATATAAGTGGCACTAACTCAATACAGATATAAAGCAAGTAAGGTAGATGTGTATCAAACACCCTAAAAAAGGATTTATTCCACCTGAAATAATTTCCTCCTATCCATTCTACAAATGGAGTACAGGAGGACTGTAATATACAAAATGTTCCTGCCTTATAGAAAAAAATGTCTATATACGTATATCCAGAAATGGCAGCTTGCTAAAAGAAAGTAAAAATGGTACCATTACAGAACTTTAAAACCCTAAAATTTGAGAACTCCAGTAGTCCTTTTCTCCTCAATGCAACTCTCCAAGTGGACTCAGCGTCTGGAAAAAAGTAGCCATTACCCTGAGCTCCATTATTGGCATCTGCTGCATCTTCCACACCCGCATCATCTTCCTCCTCGTTGTCTTCCTCTTCTTCCTCTGCCTGGTCATCCTGTGCATCCGGGATTTCCCCCACCACTGCATTCTCAGCTGGTGGGTTGGCAGGCTGCTCAGCAGCAGCATTTTCTGCACCATTTCCTCCTGCTGGAGCCTAAAGTGACAAAAGAGTTAAAATTTTAGCTAACTTGCCTCAGTTGTACACTATTTTCAAATCACTCTCCTTGCTAGAAAAACAAACTAGCAAACACAAACTCTACTAAGATCCAGAAATAAACATCTTTCAGTCATCTTTCTTTATTGTCAGTCATCAAATGGATCTAATTTGGGATCAACTTTTTATGTAAGAGCATAAGCTCCGTTTATAGTGCATTCATTCAGTTTCAAATGGGGATTAAGACTTCACAAACCATTATAGAAAGCAGGTCTACAAATCTGGCTATCTTTAATACTTCATTCTGTAACTGTCTTCTTTATATGACACTTCTTGTTGCGATCCCCAGCCCGTACTGGAGCTGGAACTCTGGACCTTGCGCTTGCCAGGCCGGTGCAGCGCCACTGAGCTAAATCCCCAGCCCACCTCTTGCTTTTATTGACTTAGGGATGGGATGAAAATATATTTTTGAAAAAAATATTTATACATATATAAAACATATTCCTCTACTGTCCTTTCAACATTTAAAATGGCTTCTTGCTTCTGCTTTATAAGCCCCCCAAATGCAATGTCCTCTGGCTCTTCCTAATTCTGCTACCTAACAAATGCAAAGACACAACTGTCACTAAGTTAAAACACAGAACCATGGACTTAATGAGGATCTTAAAACAATGCTGCATTAACGCGTACAAATGAGACACAATGATTAATCTTAGATGAGAATGGTGCCATTTTTTACAGCCTGCTGTCTGTGTATGCTTTTTAAGAAGTTGAATTCTGTAGAGAAAAAGAAATCACAGATTTTTAACTCAATCTGCATGCTGAAAGAGGAGAAAGTCCTCAAAACAAAAATGAAGTTAGTATGATTACTTTATGGCCAGTTTTCTCATAATAAAATTTTATAAAGTACCAATCATTTTCATTTTTTATTAAGTAACTAATTTGTGGCATTTTCAACACCATAAGTTCTCAGGAAGCAAGATACTAAAAATCATTGTATCCTCCTCCTCTTAACAGCTCTACCAAATTCCCTTGCACCTAAGCACATCATCACAAAAACAAACAAAAACTACACGACTGGTATTCAATTTTTCTACTACTTTTAGTAAGATGTCCACTTGACAGGAAAGACAAAATGATAAAGTGGTGCATCCCCCCTTAAATGTTGAAAAGCATGTGAAAAACTTAACTAGGAAATTGTATATTTAACTCCCGAGCTCAGGTTAAACAGTTCCAAGCAAAGAGAATGGAAGAGCATTTTGGTATGGTCTCTAATACTGCTGCTGATCTAGCAAGAAAATTAAGAGGCAAGGGCCTGGGACTTAGCTCAGTGGTTCCGCCTGCCTCACAAGCACAAAGACCCAAGTTTAATCCCTGGTACCAAAAAAAAAAAAAGAAGCAAAGTCACAAAAGCACCCCTAGGATTTCTCATATTCATCTTCAATCCCCCAAACCTTCCCACTGTCCTCCTTTAAAATGGCAAAAGACCCAGCAATCAGCTTGGCCAGGAAACTGCAAATTCAAGGCCAGCTTTGGCAATTCAGAGACCTCATCTCAAAATACAAAACAAGACTAGGGATGTGGGTCACTGCAGAGTGTAGGTTTAATCTCCACTATTATGGGGGCTTAAAAAAAAAAAGCACAAGAATATTTATGAAGTATGTGTCAAGAGTTTAGACCTTAGAGGGGACAATAATTTTCACACCCTGCCTAAGAAGCGGGTTTCAGAGCAGCGGTGTTACCTCATTCTGGTGGTGCCCTGCAGCGTTGAAGGGCGGCGCAGCATGCTCCAACCAGATCGGGGCTCCCCCGTGGACTATCTGCTCTCGCAGCCACACCAGGCTGATGAACGCACACAGTGTGCATGTCACCACGAAACAGCCCTGCAAACAGTCCGCCAACAGGTTTTCCCTGTTTGAACAAACAAAACACAGACGATGACTCCAAGAACACCTGTAAAAGTAGCAAGAAAAATAAATCATAATTTTTGGGAGAAGCTCAGTTTTCCCGTAAGAATTACTGTATCAAAGCATAAAGTAACACTAGCATGACCTAGCAATTAACAGTCCATGGCTGTCAAAGAGCCAGAAGGCAGCAAGTGAAAAAGCAGCCAAATAATTGACAAAGGCCAAGCATTAAGTTTATAGAATTTACTAAAGGTGAGTAGCTCTCTCAGATACTAAGAATTTCCTTCTATAGAAGTAAAGTATGGTTCTTTTAGCAATCATACATCAAAATGCATGGGATGTTGTTAAAAGGAAGAGCCCTTGTTCTTTTCTTCCCTAAAGAAAAAGTTTATCTTTCCCTGTTAATGCCTGTGATTTCAGAATAGATTAACTCAAAAATCTTGATAGGCTTTAAAAATACACTATTTTAATGGAATGACTTTTTACTCCATGGAAAAGCTATTGATAAGGGTCAACCTGGAAGATCTCAGCCTAGCAGGTGCAAACATGAACTGAACTGGTGTGGCTCCTACATTAAAAGAGCAATCTTAACCACTTGTTCCTAAGGAGCACTCCAGACAACAACATTTTGATGGACTGGGATTAAAATAAGCCCTATTCTTCCTTGCCCTTAGCAATAAGAACAACTAGCTAAATCAGCTGCTTTTTGGGCACTTTTTTTTTTTGGACACTTCAAATGGTAACAAACCCTACAGTCCTTTTCCCTGTGGCTTCAGCTGGGGCTGGTTTTGCATACTGCCTGGACCAGAGCTGATGTCAAGCTCCAGAGCCTAGACAGGGCTCGTGAGCTCCCTGTCTCACCCTTGAGGATGCTGAGATCACCATGTAAAGGGGGCTCCAATCAGCCTGGTGCAGGATGAGGCAGGGGAGAACTCAGCTACATCGTCAGGACAACGTAAATGACTAGGCCCCACGAAGACACACGAGTGACCCAAGCAAGTGTAACAGATAAAAAGCTCAGCTGAGCCCAGCCCAAACTTTAGAGATCAAGAATTACAAGCAAATAAAATGCCATTTGTGTGAAGTCACTAAACTTCAGAGGGTTTGTTTAACCTAGTGTGCCTAGAGATGACCCAAAGAACTGAGATATAAACTATAAAGAACTGTTGAGATATAAATAAAATTCAAAAATAAATTCTCAGGAAAAAAATGTATTCTATAAAGAAAATAAAACACTACTCAGGAAAAATAATCAATCATGTTTTTATTTCCTTTGACCATCCCCACCTGGCCTCTAGTGGTCCTTTCCAGTCCAGCACTAGCTAATGAAGTAGCTAGTGATTCAGGTAGCCCTTCAGCCAATCAGCTCAGAGGAAAGGGGAGCTGGCCTACACAGGCAAGTGGCGATGCTTAATGCCGAAGTGTGGTAAAATGACTACAGTGAGCAAGTTTTTAGCATGTGTATACTATTAATGCTTCTTTTTTTTTTTTGGTACCGGAGATCGAACTCGGGACCTTGCGCTTGCGAGGCAGGCAGCAGAACCACTGAACTAAATGCCTGGCTAGCATGCATATTCCATAATCTCAAAAAATATTTTAAAATTATCTCAATATATGAACATAATAGTACATACCTCAAATTTTTGTTTTGTCTTGTTTTTTGAGACAGGGTCTCACTATGTAGTTGAGACTGACCTGGAACTCACTTTGTAGCCCAGGTTGGTCTCAAACTCACAGCAATCCTCCTGCCTCAGCCTCCCAAGTGCTGGGATTACAGGCGTACACCACCACACCTGGCACCTCAAACTTCATAGCCTATTTAACAAGTCATCCTACCATTACAAAAAAGTTCTTTAAAACTTCATTTTAGAATATATGTACATATATGCATGCTACTTCTGTTATCCTACATGTAGCTGTTAGGATAAGAAACATCAATTATTGTCTTTGGAACAAGACAGAGTTTTCAAATTCTGAATATGGTGAAGCATCATTTCCAGTAGCTCAGGTTCAACACTCACGTGGACAGCATGTCTAGCGGCAGTGTCAGTAGTGAGCTCACGGAGCCAGTAAACAAGCACTTGTAGATGCGGCCTATCAGAAAGGACATGATGGCACAGTCACAACCAGCATCGCCAACTCAGTCACTCAAGACAGCAGCAGAAACCACGAAGGCCGTGGAAATTAGTGCTTTAAGTCTTGAGTCTCAAAACACTACATTTTTACATTGTCGAGCATAAAATTAGAGAAGAGAAACGCTGCACAACACTGCTTAGTGTTCGTATTCTCTAGACTTGTTTGTACCAAATGCATATTCACTGTTTTTCTATCTCAAGAATTATGCACATAAAACAAGCAACTTTTCTCTCATTTCTATCTGCCCCTCCTAATTTTTCCCAGTATTTTCATCTGAAATTTTACTTTCAGCCCATCTTCCAAAAACTCTTAATTATTGTAGATTAACAATCATTGAGCTTCGTCGTAAGGACTTATTTCTGTGAATTTCACATCTTTCTCTGATTCTTTGCTCATTTAGTGAAGTGTATTCTCATTTTCTTACAAAGTTTAAAGCAGTAAACTTTTTGAAACCTTATGACAAACCACGTATCTGTAGTTTGTTCCTCCATCTGGGGATAATTTTCAGGAGCGGAATTAGTTTCAAAACTGTTATCAAAATCAGACATGGCAGGGCTGGGGATTTAGCTCAGTGGTTCAGCCACCTGCCTCACAAGCACAGGGAATGGAGTTTGATCCCCGTACCAAAAATAAATAAATAAATAAATAAATAAAAAATCAGACATGGTGGCACACACCTGGAATTCTAGCTATTAGGGAGGCCAAGGCAGGAAGATTATAAATTCTAGACCAGGTCTGGGGATTTAGCTCAGTGGTTTGGTGCCCTGCCTCACAAGTGCAAGGACCCGAGTTCGATCCCCCGTACCAAAAAAAAAAAAAAAAAAAAAAA